TTTTCCAGCCCTGGAAATTCCCTGAGGAGGAATTTCAAGCCCTGTGGATGTGGCACTTGGGGACAGTGGTGGCCTTGGCAGTGCTGGGAATGGTTGGATTTGGATTTCTGGATCTTGGGGGGTTTTTCCAGCCTAAAAATTCCGTGATTCCAAAGCAGCCGGTGTTCCCTCACTGTGCCTGGGGCAGGTTTCACCCCCAGCATTCCCAGCCCTCGGAGCTCCCGGCTCCGATTCCGTGAATATTTGGGGAGCTGGCAAAGGGCAGAAGGTGCAGAAGATCTGGGGAGGTCCTGGGAGCCCAAATCCCTCTGGGAATGTGGGACTGGATCCTGCTCTGGGACAGGGGGTCACAGCCCCAAACCCAGGGGTGCCCACAGAACGTCCTGGGATCCCTTCCCACCTGGAATGGGCTGGGAAAAGGGGCTGGATGTGAATTCACCCCCCTCGGGCAGAGTTCAGAGACTGAATTACCCTCAGGGCTGGGAATGAGGCTGGATTCGGGATCAGCCGCGGGATTTTGGATCACCTCTGTCCGCTGGAGCAAGATCCTTCATTCATTCCCACATTCCCATTCCTGGACTAACCCTGCTCCTCCTTCGGTGCATTTCTACCCAAATTTCTGTTCAGAACCAAACTTTCCAGCTTTTATCTGTATTTTTCCAAGGAACCACCCCCACCCCACGTGTTGCTCACTTGGATTTTCAAGGATTTTCTTTCCTCGGAGCCACAGGTGAAATTCCAACAACGTCCTGCTCCGGAAAATCCCTTTTCCCTCCTTTTTCATTTCCCGTCTTCCAGCAGGGAGGAGGAGCCTGGGAGAGCTGTAGCCATAAAATCATGGAATGGTTTCGTTGGAAAGGATGAGCTTGGAGCTCATCCCGTGGGCAGGGACATGTCCCAGGCTGGCCCTGGGCACTTCCAGGGATCCAGCTGCTCTGGGAATTCCATCCCAGCCCTTCCCCACCCTCGCAGGGAGCGATTCCCTCCCCGTGTCCCATCTGGGATATTGGGAAGTGGCACTGGGAGCCATTCCCTGGGTCCCGTCTCTCCATCCCGTGTCCCCAACCCCTCTCCAGCTCTCCTGGAGCTCCTGGAAGGAGCTCTGAGCTCTCCCTGGAATTTCTCCTCTCCAGATGAACATTCCCAACCTCCCAAGTGCTGGATTTGCTGCTGGATCCGGGGGCACCGAGGCCAATCCCAAAGGATTTGTGCCACAACCTCTCCCGGGGCTCCTTTGGTGTTCCTCGTCCCTGGAACCAGATCCAGGATCAGGCCGGGAAAGGAGGGGAGCTGAAATATTAATGAATAATAATTAATATTAATGAGAATTAATTAATATTAATGCCACGGGGAAGGGCTCAGGTTATCCCTGAGCCGCTCCCGAGCCCTTTGGAATGCTGGGAAGGCGTTAATTAATTTAATTACCCAACAGAAAATGGGGCAAAGTGCGAGCGCTGGGCTGGGATCTTTGAGCTGCTGGGAGGGGTTTGGGGTTGCAAATATTTTGATATTCCAAATTTTTTTATTCCCAATCCCAAAATTTCCTGTGCAAGGGAAGAGGGGTTGGTGGGAGAAGGGCAGGAATTCCTACAGGACAGCCCCAAATTTTTTATCTATTTATTTATGAGATGTGTTATTTATCATGTATTTCTATATGATATATTTTATTTCTTGTATAATTATACGTGATATAAATAATGCTATTTTTAGATTTTTTTAGGTATTATTATATATTATTATTTTCGATTTTTAAGGTATTTTGGGGGTATTTCTAATATCTATATTATACCTATCTTTTTAATATATTTTTTATATATTCTTTCCTAAAATAATATATTATTTTATATATTCTTTCATATATTATTTTATATATGTATTTCTCATCTTTATATTCGTATTTCTAATATTTTTATTTATAGTTCTATTTATTTGTATTTCTAACATTTTTATCAGCATTTCTAATATTTTTATTTTTGTTTCTAATATTTTAATGGGCTTTTCTAATATTTTTATTGGCATTTCTAATATTTTAATGAGCATTTCTAATATTTTAATGAGAGTTTCTAATATTTTATTGGCATTTATAATATTTTTATTTGCATTCCTAATATTTATTGTTGTTTCTCATATTTTTATTGGCGTTTCTCATATTTTTTTATTTTTGTTTATAATATTTTTATTGGCATTTCTAATACTTTTATTGGCGTATATGATATTTATTTGTCTTTCTAATATTTTTATTAGCTGTTAAATGATGCTGGTCCTTCTCAAGAGGAAAAGAGAGGGAGATTCACAGTTTTAAACAGGGAATTGTGTTTCCCTGGTGGAATTTTTATGGATAGCAGGGAATTAAAAAGGGTTGTAGGGGTTGGATAACGCCCTGGATTTGGGGAGATTTTTGTGTTTGAGGCGAGATCCAGCAGGGCTGGATTAGCCTGGGATTGTTTTGGCAGTCCTGGAATTCCAGGTGGGATTTTGGTGGTCCAAGACTGTTGATGTTCATGGAAGGATTCAATTCTTTCCTGGAATTTCCAGCACAGAGAATTCCAGGTGGGATTTTGGTGGTCCAAGACTGGGATGTCCATGGAAAGATTCGATTCTTTCCTGGAATTTCCGGTTCAGAGAATTCCAGGTGGGATTCCTGTGATCCAATGCTGGGATGTCCATGGAAAGATTTGATTCTTCCCTGGAATTTCCAGCACAGAGAATTCCAGGTGGGATTTTGGTGGTCCAAGACTGGGATGCCCATGGAAAGATTCAATTCTTTCCTTGAATTCCCAACACAGAGAATTCCCGGCGGGATTTCTGTGATCCAATGCTGGGATGTCCATGGAAAGATTCGATTCTTTCCTCGAATTCCCAGCACAGAGAATTCCAGGTGGGATTTCTGTGATCCAACGCTGGGATATTCATGGAAAGATTAAATTCTTTCCTGGAATTTCCAGTTCAGAGAATTCCAGGTGGGATTTTGGTGATCCAAGGCTGGGATGTCCATGGAAAGACTTGATTCTTCCCTGGAATTTCCAGAGAATTCCAGGTGGGATTTTGGTGGTCCAAGACTGTTGATGTCCATGGAAAGATTTGATTCTTTCCTGAATTTCCAGTGCAGAGAATTCCAGGTGGGATTTTTGTGATGTTCATGGAAGGATTCAATTCTCTCTTATGGGGCTGAGTCTTGCCAGGAAGGTCTCGGGGTGCTTCATCCCTAAAACCTCCTGAGAGGGTTTGGGGAGCAGCAAATCCCAACCCTCGGCTCAGCCCCTCTGGATTGGGAATTTTCCTGTGCCAGGGGAGCTCCTGGGAGATCCCAATCCTGGGAACCCCCTCTCTGAGCCCTTTGTGGTGTCACCTTGGGGTGAACGGGGGGGTTTGGGGGGTTTTCTGCTCTCGGAGCCCCTCCTTTCTGCTCCCCCTTTCCCAAAAATCCCTGTTTTCCCCTCCATCCCCACCGCTGCAGGCAGATGGAATTCTTACATAACCGGGCTCCGGAGCTCATTCCAGGCAGATCCGGGTTCTGCTTTGGAGGATCCCAAACATCAGCTCAGCCCTGGGGCTCCTCCCGCTCCACTCGGGGTCTGGAGCACCAGGATTTTCCAGGGGGAACATTAATGGGAATATTCCTCGGTTATTGCTGCCTCACCTGAGCCCTGGAGCCGTGGGGATGGGGAAAAGGATGGATTTGGGAAAGCAGAGACATCCAGGAATGGGGCAGGGTGAGCCTGCGAGGTTCAGCTGCTTTTATGGAATGAATGTATCCCACAGCCTGGAAAACCTGGGGTGGGGGAAGATGTCCCTGCCCGTGGGAAGCAGGAAAATCTTTAAAATCCCCTCCAGCCCAAATCATCCTGGCACTCTGCAAAAAGAGGGAGAAGCTTGGAGAAACCCACTGTGCTCCATCTGCTTCCCAAGGGTTGTGGTGGTTCCTGGGGGCCCTGGAATTCCAGGATTTCCCGGCTGGCTCCGGCATCCTCGGTCCCAGGCGTTGTGCAGATAAAAACCAGAGCTGAGCACAACCAGGCTCGGGGTTTAAACTGGGATTTAAACCTCAGGAGGGTTTTTCCTCCTTTCACCAGTGCCCAAAAAACAGCACGGAAAAGGAGGAAATATTGGGAATAATAACTGGGAAATAAACATCGAGTGGGAAACAAATATGGAGTGGGAAACATAGAGTGGGAAATATTAACTGGGAATTAATAACTGGGAAATAAATATGGGGTGGGAAATAATAACTGGAAAGTATTGAGTGGGGAACAAATATGGAGTGGGAATTATTACTTGTGAAATAAATATGGAGTGGGAAATAAATATTGATTGGGAAATAATAACTGGGAAACAAATATTGAGTGGGAAATATTAATTGGGAAATAAATATTGAGTGGGAAACAAATATTGATTTGGAAATATTAACTGGGAAATAAATAGTGAGTGGGAAATATTAATTGGGAAATAAATATTGAGAGGGAAATAAATATTGATTGGGAAATAATAACTGGGAAATAAATATTGATTGGGAAATATTAACTGGGAAATAAATATTGAGTGGGAAACAAATATTGATTGGGAAATATTAACTGGGAAATAAATATGGAGTGGGAAATAACTGGGAAGTATTGAGTGGGGAAGAAATGTTGGGTGGGAAATATTAATTGGGAAATAAATATGGAGTGAGAAATAAATATTGATTGGGAAATAATAACTGGGAAATAAATACTGAGTGGGAAATACTAAATGGGAAATATTAACTGGGAAATAAATATGGAGAGTGGATATTAAGTGGGCAATAACTCTGTCCCCCACTCTGGGAGGGAGTTAATAACCGTTAAATGAACAAATAAAAGGCAGAAAGAAACGTCCCCACAACCTCCTGGCAGCTCCTCGCTCCTGGGATCCCTTTTCCCACCTCATTTATGGATCACAGCCGGGGAGGGAAGGAGGAACCTTCGGGAGGATTTATTGGAATTTTAATATTGCCTTTTCCTTCGTGTTCCTTTCTCCCCCAGGACTGAAAAAACGCACCAGGAAGGCCTTTGGGATACGCAAGAAAGAAAAGGACACTGACTCCACGTGAGTTGATGGTTTGGATGTGGTTTGGAATTTGGGGCATGCCAGGCCGTTGTTATCTTTGGATGGAGTTTGAGCAGCGAGCGCATTCCAGCTGTTTCCCAGTGTGGGATTTCCTGGGAGCTGCTGCGGGGTTCTTGGTGCCCGGGGGATTTTTGGGGCTCGCTGGAAAAGGAGTCCCCGGAGTTGGAGCGGATTCAGCTCTGCAGAGCTCCTTGGAGATGTAAATTCAATTTATGCCGGTGTTCGTGCAGGTTTGGGGCAGCTCGGGGTGGGGAAGGTGCAGGGCTTGGTGCAGCACAGGGGTTTCACTTCCCAGAAAACATCTGGATTCTTCCCACATCTGGTGGGGGATGCTGGGGGTGGGGGCTGAGCCCGGCCTGGGAAGGGGCTGGAGCTCCAGGAGAGGCTGAGGGAGCTGGGAAGGGGCTGGAGAATCCCTGAGGGAGCTGGGAAGGGGCTGGAGAATCCCTGAGGGAGCTGGGAAAGCTCAGCCTGGAGCAAAGGAGGCTCAGGGGGAATTTCTGGCTCTGCACAAGTCCCTGGCAGGAGGGGACAGCCAGGGGGATTTGGGATCTGCTCCCAGGAACAGGGACAGGAGGAGAGGGAACGGCCTCAGGCTGGGCCAGGGGAAGTTTGGGTTGGATATTTGGAAATTTGGGAAAATTCCATCCTGGAAAGAGTTGTCCAGCCCTGGCACAGCTGCCCAGGAGTCCATCCCATCCCTGGAGGGATTTAAAATCCCTGTGGATGTGGCACTTGGGGACGTGGTCAGTGGTGGGAATGCTTGGATTTGATGGTCTCAGAGGGCTTTTCCAGCCCAAACAATTCCATGATTCTCAGCCCCCATGGCTGTGGCCCCGGAGCTGTGGCACAGGAGCCACCACGTCCTGGGGACAGCAGGGACAGGCAGCAGGGAGAGGCCCCTCCTGCAGCTCCGCTCGGCTCTTCCACATCTCGGCAGACACTCCGAGGGTTTTCCTTTTATTCCACCTGGATTTGTTTCCCTGAGCTGTTCCATGTCCCGGTGGAAGCTGTTTGGAGGTTTCCCATGCCAGGGGACAGATCCCAGGCCTGGCCAGCTGTCCCTGGTGGCACTGGCAGCTGGGCCGGGCTTTTCCTGCTGTCCCAGAGCACGGGACACACGGAGCGCATCCTAAAAGAGGGATTTACATCCCTGAGATGCATCCTGCGGATGGTGGCATCCATCCACCGGGCTGTGGCAGCTCCAGCTGGGCCTGAGTTCATCCATAATTTATCAGGATGGGCGGGAATGAGGCTCCTTTGCGTCTTCCCATGGAAAAATGGCTTTATCCAGCGCTGAGATTTCCATGGCTCCATCCCGCTGTTCCCGGCAGGTCGGGGAGCTGCTGGCAGGGACAGGAGGATCCCAGGGCGCTGGGGAGGTCGCCGAGAGGCCACCCCGGAGGACGCTGCAATTAGCAGCAGCCGTGATTAGCACGGCGGGGTCACGGCGCGGTCACACCCCCAAGGGCTTTGGGCGATCTCCAAATCCAAATCCCTGCAGGCGGGAGGGATCGGGAGAGAAGGGAGGGATGGAACGGGAGAAGGGAGGGATGGATCGGGAGAAGGGAGGGATGGAATGGGAGAAGGAAGGGAGGGATGGATCAGGAGAAGAAAGGGATGGGACAGGAGAAAGCAGGGATGGAATGGAGAAGGAAGTCAGGGATGGAATGGAGAAGGAAGTCAGGGATGGAATGGAGAAGGAAGTCAGGGATGGAATGGAGAAGGAAGTCAGGGATGGAATGGAGAAGGAAGTCAGGGATGGAATGGAGAAGGAAGTCAGGGATGGAATGGAGAAGGAAGTCAGGGATGGAATGGAGAAGGAAGTCAGGGATGGAATGGAGAAGGAAGGAAGGGATGGTGGCATCTGCCACACCCTGCAGCCACCCAGGACACCGCACCGGGTCCCTGGATCTGCTGATGGGGCTGGAATGGCTCGGCTGGAGCTGCTGCTCTTCCCCACCTGGGGAGGCTCTCCCCAGCAATTCCAGCTGGGATGGGAGCAGGAGGTGCCACCCCCTGTGCTGGGGATCACACAGTGAGCAGGAGCAGAAGCGATTTTTGCCACTCCTGAAGGATTTCAGGGACTTTTGTGCGAAGAGATGGAGATAAATAGATCTGGGACACAGGCGTGGATTAATGGAGAACTTTGGGAATGGCGTTATTCCCGGTGAAACCAAGGGGCTCCGAGTGACGCCCCGAGTCAGGTGTGAGCCGGTGGTGCATCCCTGGCAGCGCAGGGAATTCGGGATGTGCGGGAACCCCTCTGGAATCCGTGGGCATTCGCGCTCCCTAAACCCCTCGGAATGGCGGGGCAGAGCTGGGATGAGCAGCCCTGAGCCAGCCCAGATCCCAAATCCCATCTCCGGGAGCCTCAGCAGGTTCCCAATCCCTTCAGCATCTCCTGGCAGAACTAAAGCCTGGGAATTCCTCCCGATGGGATTTTTGCCTCCTGCAAAAGGATGGATACAGGGCAGGGATGAGGCTGGGACAGCGCCAGCAGCGCTTTATTTACTGATAAACCTCAAATGTATCCGCTGATAACGGGAGGGCAAAAATTCTGTGTCCTTGAGTGGGTTCCACGAGGAGCAAGAAACTCAGATGTGATGAAAATTCCGTGATTCTGTATTAATTTTATGTGATAAAATATTACATATTCTAATTATCTAGTATAATAATGTAAGATTGTACAATAATATTATAGAATAAGTAATATAAATATATTAAATTAAATTTTAATTGAATTAAATATAGATATATAATATATATTATTATATGTTACCGTTTTATTATATAAAATATAATACATATATTATTAATGTTAATATATTAATTAAGCTAATATTATATGTATTATATAATATTATATAATACATAAATATTGGACATAATATATATTATACTGTATATAATATATACAGTATACTATATAATATATATGGCATAATATATAATATTATATTTTATTATATATTATGGTTTTATTATATAGAATATAAGATAATACATATAATATTGGATGAAGTATAATATATATTTTATTGTATATAATGTTATATATTATACTATATATAATATATAGAATATATTGTATAATATATAGAATATATAATACATAGTATATTGTATATGATTTATTATATATTTTAATAATTATAATAATTATATCTATAAATCTTCTATAATATCTTATTATAATATCTTATTATATTCTATATAATAAAACTATAATATATACTTTTTGCTGCCATGAATTCATTTAAAGAATAACTTAATTAATTGGTTAATTGGGTGCACTTTGGGCACTAACACAGCTCCTTTTTCCTGTTCTTTCCAGAGGCTCACCAGACAGGGATGGCATCGTGAGTATTCCCCCTCCAGTGCCACCTCCCCTTCCACCTCCATCAGCATCTGTCAACAGTTTTCTGTTTAATATAGAAAAGAAATGTAAAATCCCAGGTTAAAAAAAGCGCCAAATTCCAGTTTTCCTATAAAAATCTCCAGAGGGAGACGTGAGAGGGGCAGCGGGAGCTAAAGCCCAGCTCCTCATCCTCGTTTCCACTCCTGCTAATTGGCTTGGGCCGGATTTGCTGCCTGAGGAGTTCAGGGGAAATTGCCAGAGCAGCTGTTTCCAACCTCTATGTTTATTTTCTATATTAACCTGAAAACAAGGAGACTTTTGTGGTTTTGGTTTGTTTGTTTTATTTTAAATTACTGCTGCTTTTATTCCTGGTGTTAGAAACATCCCTGCTAGAGATGGGCCCTGTCTCTTTTAGTGCTGGGCACCAAAAATAAGCTGGGTTCAGACTGGGTTTATTTCTTCAGCAAATCCAGATTTTAGAATTTCACCTCAAAATGTAGACGAGCCCCTTGCAAGGCTCAGCAGAGAGAGCAGTGCTGGGGTAGCTTTTAAAAAGATAAAAATCTGGGGGGGGCCAAGCTGCTCCTTGCAAGGAATCATTTTGGTTTTCCCCCCAGTCTGACCCAAAATCCTCGGCTTGGAGCCCTCCCTGCGTGTTTTAAGCTGCTTGTTAGGAAATTGTGATTAAAGTAAAGGTAGTGCCTTCAGCAGGGCTCTGCTCAGCAGTGAGAAATTGATAAAGAGCAGGTTTGGGTTGGATAAACTGATAAAGAACAGGTTTAGGTTGGATAAATTAATAAATATCAGGTTTAGGTTGGATGAATTGATACAGAGCAGGTTTAGGTTGGATAAATTAATAATAAATAACAGGTTTAGGTTGGATAAATTAATAAAGAACAGATCTAGGCTGGATAAATTGATAAAGAACAGATTTAGGTTGGATAAATTAATAAATAGCAGGTTTGGGTTGGATAAATTGATAAAGAGCAGGTTTAGGTTGGATGAACTAATAATAAATAACAGGTTTAGGTTGGATAAATTGATAAAGACAGGTTTAGGTTGGACATCAGGAGGAATTTCTCCAGTAAAAGGCTGCCCAGGGAGGTTTGGAGTCCCCATCCCACCCTGGAGGTGTCCAAGGAACACCTGGATGTGGCACTTGGTGACAAGGTGGGGATGGGGCACAGCTTGGGCTGGGTGATCCTGGAGCTTTTCTGCAGCTTTAACTCCGTGAATATCCAGGGAACATCCCCAGACTGTTCCCTCTTCCAGCAGAAATCCCATGGGCCGCTTTTCCCGGCCAGGTGTGGGCAGAGGGACCTCGGCTGTCCTCTCCAAGGATGCAGAAATGCAATTTTCAGGGAATAAAATGAAGCTGCTGAAGGTGTTTGAGGCAGAGGGATTGCAGATGGAGACATTTGATATCATTTTTCATCCTCCAGAGCCTTTCCCAGGTCATTTTTGCTGGCGTGGCCAGGAGGCAGATCCTGACTGCTGAACAGAGCCCACAGGAAAATCCACCTTTAATCCTGGGGGAGCCCCAGCTGAGCCCCCCTTTCCCGATAAACCCATGTTCCCTAGTCCCTAAAAGCTGGTTTTTGAAAAGAAAAAACCCCAAAATCCCGGCTGAGGAGAAGATATTTTAACCCTTTTTCTGCCGCCCCCACCCTTGCAGCAGCCCAGCCCTCATCCCAATGATCCAACTTCCAATAGCAAACCCGAGGGCACGCGGGAAGGAGGAAATAAAAACGGGGTAAGGAAAACGGAGCTCGGCTCCCAGCTCCCACAGGGGTGTGGAAAACAGGGAATCACCCTTGGTTCGGAGCCCAGAGTTGTAGGAAAAGCACTTTAGGGTCAGCCAGGCTGATGGGAGCGGGGTTGAATACAAATGGATGGGGGAAAAGCAGGAATCCCGTGGAACAGCGCCCAGAATTCCCACGGGACGGAATCCAGAGGAGGTTTTCCCACAGCTGAGCTCCCAGGGAAGCTGCTCCATCCTTGGGAGATGTGGAGTGAGGGGCTGCATCCAGCCCTGGAGCAGGGAGTGCATCCTGTCAGACCCTCGGCAGGGAGCTGGGATGGGAATGTTCCCTCTGGAAACTCAAGGGAGCTGGATTATCCCATTCAGGTGCCCAAAACTGTGGTGGCCGTGGGACTCTGGATGTGTTTGGGTGCTCAGAGCCAACCAGGAAAGGGTTCCAGAGGTGACGGATGCCTGGAGCCTCTTCCAAAGGGAATTCCCTGGATCCCAAGCAGCAGTTCCTGTGTGTGTCGGTGTTTCATGGCATGGACTCATCCCAGACCCTTCCCACTGCTCCGTCCCCAATCCACAACGCCTGGCATGTGGGATAACGGGATTGGAATCCTTCCTGGGGTTGCCCTTTCTCGGGGAAGGGCTTTATCTCCCAGTAAACATTTCCCGATGGAGCTTCCCAAGGGCTGGAACATCCCAGAGCACGGAGAAGCGGACATTTCCTCTCTTCTCCCTAAGGAATGGTGGATGTCCACCTAAGGAATGTTCAAAAAACTCCCTCCTTCCATCCTTCTGGGGTGGGAGAATTCCAGAGATGGGGAATGCTGTTGGATTTCTGATGTGTGCCCCGTTCCTGCTTCCTCCATTTAAACCACGGGAATTTTCCTTTCCAGAAGAAAACCAACGGAGCCCCGAATGGATTTTACGCGGAGATCGACTGGGACAGATACGTGAGTGTTCCCTGGAGCTTCCCTGCATCCAGCTGCGTCCCATGGGGATCCCAGGCTGTTCCCACACTCATTTTGGGCTCTGGGTGAAATCAACTCCATCCAGACACCAATCCCACACCTGCAGGTCAGCCAGAATTCCCAGGAATGGGCTGGCTCTGGAGATCTCCGTCCTGGCTCAAGGGGTGTTGCAGTTTATCCAGAGAAAACTTTGGATTATAAACAGGATTAAAACCTTCCCTTCTACAAAACGAACGGTGGAATTTGAGGCACCCTTTGCTCTGGGGGCTTGGGCTGTGCAGGAGGAAAGAGCTGCTCCAGCTTTCCAGGAATGAACGTTCTTAATTTTCCTGGATTTTCTAAATTTTTTTCTGTGTTTTTTCTTTTTTTTTTTCCCCTATCCAGAACTCCCCTGAGCTGGATGAGGAGGGATACAGCATCCGACCCGAGGAACCGGGAGATATCCTTTGGATTCGGCTTTGCCTCTCGCGTTCCGTCCTGAAACGGGAGCTGGGGTTCGCAGGCGGGCTCTTCTCATTTCGTTATTTTTATTGTTTATTAGTAATTATTCCTGTTTCTTTCCACCTTTGGATTTTCATCTGGAGCTGGCACTCCGCAGATGAAGCTGAATTCCTGAGGGAATTCCCTGAGGCGTTGGGATTGTCTTTGATTGACTTCTATGGAGTGAGGAGCAGGGAGAATGCTCCATGGAGACCGGGATGTCCGTGGTTATCCCAGAGAAAAGGAGGAACAGGGAGGAGCTCCTGGCTCTCAGCTCCGCTCCCAGGGAACAGGCACAGGATGAGGGAATGGCCTCAAATTCCAGGGCAGGTTTAGGTTGGATATTGGGAAAACATCCTCCTGGAAAAGGCTGGTGAGGCACTGGAGCAGTTGTGGAGTCCCCATCCCTGCAGGGGTTTGAAATCCACAGGGAATGTGGCACTTGGGGACACAGGCTGGGGGACCCAATTGTCTCACAGGGCTTTTCCAAGCTGGACAATTCCATGAAATCCAGGCATGGCCAGACCCCCTGGGCTGGATTTATCCCCTGGCAGCGACAGGCCCAGCACAGGAACTCCTCCCCCAGTTTGGGGTCAGCATTCCGGGACTGAATGCTGAATGGGAATGGGAGAATGCTGAATGGGAGAGATCCCCTCTCTCCAGCCAGCCAGCCGGGGATCCCTGCGGAGGGAAAATCCCTTAACTGTGCCCTACCTACCAAAGGAAAGCACTTCTACTCCTCCAGCGAGTCCGAGGAGGAGGAGGAGGCGCACAAGAAGTTCAACATCAAGATCAAGCCCCTGCAGGCCAAGGACGTCCTGCGCAGCGCCGCCACCGTGGACGAGCTCAAGGCCTCCGTAGGCAACATCGCGCTTTCTCCGTCCCCCGTGGTGAGTCCCTGCGCCCTTCCCGCTCCCCCCAGCTCCCGGGAATCCCGCAGGGATCGGCCCGGGCTCGGCGGGAGCTTGGTTGATGGTTTGGAATCCAGCACCGGGGTCCTTCTGCGGGGAGGTGGCTGCAGGTGCTGCTCAAGAGGGTTGGAATGACGTTTCCAGTTTGAAACGTCGTAAAAATTCCTTTTCCTGCTCAGAAAAGAGATTGGGATGTTTTATTCCCCGGGGTTTTTTTTTCCCTCCCTCTTTGCATTTTTTTCAATGAGGAAAAAGGGGAATTGCAATCAATCATCATCATTCAGGGTCTTGTCCTGATTCCCAAGCCAAGGAAAGCATCTGTGAGATTTTCCGTGGGATTTTAGGGGGGTGTTTCCCACCCTGGAGGTGAATCCGGGTTCCTGGAAGGAAAGGTCGTTTTTCCTTAGTCCAGCTTGGCATAAAGGCCGCCCCACTCCGCTTTTCCTGAGGCTTGTTAAGATTCCTCTTGGCTCATCCCATGAAAACGCTGGATTCAGGGATTTCAGGAGGCTTTAGTGTGGCCTTTGGTGACTTCCCAGACAAAGCTTTCCATGATTTATAAATAACCTGGGTCTGAAGTGTGAATGGCTCTCCAAGGCAAACTGAAATAAAATCCTTGTGTTTTGTTTCTGCCTCCCAAACCAGGGAGTTTCTGTTTGTTGGCATCCCAGGATTGGAAATGGCACTTGGATGCTTTGGGAAGCACCAAAAAAAAGGGGGAAAACCCAACCTCAAAACGAACAATTTAATAATGATGATAATAATAATATAAATATTAGGAAAACCAAATTCTGGCGGAATGTGCATTTCCAAAAAAATCACCAAACGTGATTTTTGTCTCCTCTTTTCCGTGGGGTTTTTCCTGCTGGGGTTGGGGGTTTGCCGTTGTTTGGGAAGGGGTGAGGAGGATCCCAGCGTGGGATGGGCTGAGGGATTTGGGTGCTGGGCTGGAGGGGACGCTGCTGTGCCTTGGGGGGATCCCTGGGGCTGCAGCCGGAGCCTCCCTGTGGAATGTGCTCAGGGAAAAGCCCCTGCCAGGCTTTTCCCAAATCCGTGCAGCCAAAGGGAGCAGATGGGCCGGGGCGTGGAGCTGCTCTGGATCCTGGCACGGGCCAAGGAAGCAGCAGAGCCCACGGCAGGAGCTGCCTGCAGGGATCTGGCATCCGCAGGAATGCCGGGTTTCGCTGCCAGGTCCCTGCCCTCATCCCGGGCTTGTCTTCCCTCCCAAACCCGCTGCAGAGCCCCACTCCGGCACCACGTCCCTGCTGGGAGGGAGATCAGAAATCCCATGGATTGGGACCTAAAATCCCATCCCATTCCATTGTCCCAGGCTGCTCCAGCCTGGCCTTGGACATTCCCAGGGATCTGGGGCAGCCCCAGCTTCTCCGGGCAGCCGGTGCCAGGTGCCGTGTCCGTAGCCACCCTCATTCCCAGGGTTCTCATACCAGAACTGCACTGGGGATTCTGGTGCCTCAACTGGGAATGGCCAGGGAATGGAATTCTTTCCATAACCTGGCTCAGACCCAACTTTTATATTTCCAAACGCTCCCTGTCCCTCCAGTCTTGCACGTGACGGGTGAAGCTGGAGCACTCCTGTCCCTCTGCTCTGCTGCATCTTTAACCCTACACAAATCTTCGATTCCTCCTTAGGGAAATAATCCCTCACCTTCTCATCCTCTCTTTTTTTTTTTTTCCTCTCCCTGCCTTCTTTTAGAGGAAAAGTCCGGTAAGAAAAGCAATTTTTATCTCCTGGAATGTTTGAACTCAGCCCTGTGTGCTCTTGTCCTGTGTCTAGAGCTGAGATGCCAAAAGCAAATAGCAAATCCTGCCCTTGTAGAACGGAGTTTAATTTCCTTTATCGCTGGCTTAGAGCATTTTAAAATAGAATGTGTAAAAATAGAGCTGGGCCTGGCTCTGGGGGTGCATTTTGGGTCCAGGAATGTGCACAAGGTGCCCAAGGGTTTGGTTTTACCTGGATCGAGCACATCCAAAGGTAGGAGAAGGCAGGAAAACCCATCCATGGGGCCTTGGGGTTTCTCCAAGAGAGCTCAGCTTCCAGTGGGGAAATCCCCCCGTTTCCCAGGATTTGGGTCGTCCTGGGGGGCTCTCCCAGGGTGACTCACGGGCTGTTGGGGACCGTGGGGTGCTGACCTGTCACTCTCTGACCAGGTGTCTCTTCTCTCCCCTTCTCGCTGACCGCAGCGGCGCAGCCCGGTAAGAGCCTGCTCCTGGGAACGGGAATGGGGTCCTGGGGCACACCGGGGCTTTGGGGCGGGCACGGGGTGTGGGGCCCGCGGTGTCACACAGCCCGCGGTGTCACACATCGCACAGTGTCACACAGCCCGCGGTGTCACACATCGCACAGTGTCACACAGCCCGCGGTGTCACACATCGCACAGTGTCACACAGCCCGCGGCGTCACACAGCCCGCGGCGTCACACACCCAGTGGTGTCACACACCCAGTGGTGTCACACACCCCACAGTGTCACACACCCCGCGGTGTCACACACCCCACAGTGTCACCGCGGCCACGGTGGCACACTCCGTCACACAGAGGGGTTCCCAAGGATGGGAAGATCCGTGCTGGTTCTGGGACGTCCCCGCTGCCGCGGTTGGGAGGGTTTGGGTTGTGCTCCACGAGCCCTTGGCAGTGCTGGTCCCCATTCCCAGTGGGATTTAAAATCCCTGTGGATGTGGCACTTGGGACAGCTCCACAGGCAGAGCTGCCAGCGGTGGCTTGGTGAGGCTCACAACTGCTCTGTAGGGTTTCCTGTAGGGTTTCCTGCTCCCTGGAGTTCAGCCACCTCCAGGAAATGTCCTCTGCTGGGCTGCTTTGCTCCTGGGGTGCCAGGCACCCGTGTCCCCGTGCATCCCACTTATCCCTGTGTTTCTCCTTCCAGGGGACGATTAAAAGGAATTTATCCAGTGAGTATCTCCTGCAGCCTGTAAAAACCACATTCTGTACCTGCCAGAGGGGTTTGGGAGAGCGGGGGGAAAGGAGTGAGTTCAATTTGGTTTCAAGTGGTCCTGGCAGAGCTGGTGGCTCTCCAAAGTTTTCCTTGGAGAAGGGTGTGGGGGACATCCTTGGGATACCAGCGCAGTTCCCTGGTTTAGCTCTGTGCAGAAATAAATGGGAATTAAAAGCAGGTTTTTCCTGTCGGGCTCCGCAGAGCGGGGTGGGTGGGACAGCAGGGGGGTCCGGGGGGCCAGGAGGGTGCTCTGGAGTGGGAATGACTCTCATCCACGTCTGTCCTGTCCCAGGTGAGGAGATCACGCGGCCCCGGCGCTCCACGCCCACGCCAGACCCCGCCAGGTCAGTGCAGGGTGGGATTATCCAAGCTTCAGGTGCCTCATCCCGGTGTGGGTTTGGAACGTTCCCACTGTGCTTGATGGGAAGCTCTAGGGGTTAGAAGGGATTTCGGGAAGGAATTGTTCCCTGCCAGGGGGAGGAATGGAATTCCCAGAGCAGCTGTGGCTGTCCCTGGATCCCTGGCAGTGCCCAAGGCCAGGCTGGATGGGTTTGGAGCAGCCTGGGACAGTGGGAGCTGTCCCTGCCATGGAAGGTGTGGCTCTGGGTGGGCTCTGAGGTCCTTTCCATCCCAAACCATTGCAGGATTTTGGCAGGACTGAGGGGCTGATGGTGGCCGGGATGCTCAGTGTCCATCCCTGCTCTCCACCGAAAGCTCCAAGGACATTCCCTGCGGGAAGCCACCTTGAGCCTGATCCGTACAGAGAGCTGGCCGAGCCTGGGGGGGATGCATTGATTTAGGACAGCAAACCTGCAAGTTTTTATGGAAAAAAGCCAAATCTCACTGGGAATGTGCCTTGTGCAGCTGCAGGGTTCGACTCAGGGTGTGTTGGACCGGAGCACGGTCCAGATCTCAAGTATTTAATTTTTAAAAATCCTTTTCCACAAAGTTTTGATTAATCCTAAAGCAGCTCGGAGTCCCAGCAGCTCCGTGGTGCTACCGCTCTCCTTCCCCTTTTTCCCACCTGGAATCCTGTCTTTGGCCATCCTGGCTGGTCTGGGATAACAAAAACTCCTTGAAGCTGTTGGTGTTTGCCCCAAAGACGGGGCTGGAGCACAAACCTGCCCCTCACGGCCGCTCTGTGCTGCTCTCACCCCACAGCAAGAAACCCACCGAGGATCCTGCGGCGCTGGCCCCGCTCTTCGGGCCCCCGCTGGAGTCGGCCTTCGAGGAGCACAAGTTGGATGGTGAGTTTGGGGCCGTGGCGAGCGAGTTTGGGGCCGTGGCGAGCGAGTTTGGGGCCAGGGTGACTTTTGGGGCCGGGGTGAGTGAGTTTTGGGGCTGTGGAGAGTGAGTTTGGGGATGGGGTGAGTAAGTTTTGGGGACAGCGTGACTTTTGGGGCTGTGGCAACTTTGGAGCCAGGGTACACAATTTTGGGCCCATGGCAGGTGATTTTGGGGCCATGGTGAGTTTGGGGCCATGGTGTGTGATTTTGGGGTTGTGGCAGGTGAGTTTGTGGCCAAGGTGACTTTGGCCCATGGTGATTTTGGGGGCAGGGTGTGTGTTTTTGTGGCTATGGCGACTTTGGGGCCAGGGTACACAATTTTGGGCCTATGGCAGGTGATTTTGGGGCCAGGGTGTGTGATTTTGGGGCCAGGGTGTGTGATTTTGGGGCCAGGGTGTGTGATTTTGGGGCCAGGGTGTGTGATTTTCGGCCCATGGCAGGTGATTTTGGGGCCAGGGTGACTTTAGGCCATGGTGGCATCTCCTGTCAGGGCCGTGGGAAGGTCCCCAGCCCCAGCAGGGATCCCCACTCCTGAAGGGACCCCAAAGCTGTGTGGATGTGACACGCAGGGACACGCTCGGGGTGGCTGCGATGGGCTCCGAGGGTTTTCCCTGACCAATTCCCCGATTCCCAGGCTCCCAGGCCCCTGCAGGAGGAGGGAACAGCCCAGGCAGGGGTTGAAGGACGGGCTCCAGGCCGGGTTAACTCGGGCTGGGTGGAAACAGAGCATGTGCTTAAGTCAATTAGTTAATTATGAGGTCTGGGAGAGCTGCTGGCAGGGAACAGCTCAGGAATATCACAACTCAGGATTTTCCACTCAAACCATCTCCCTGGAGCAGGGGGGATTCTGGAGCCCTCCATTCCTAGGAAATGCCATCTCAAAAATGCCATTTTTGCCCCTCCTTTAGCACTTTGCTCCTTCCAAGTCTGATTTTTCCCAGCTTTCCCAAAGCGCAGGAGCCTTGCAGGACTTGTTTTCCCCGAAACCAACCCCATCCATGCCCAGAGATCTTTTCCTCCTCTTCCTCCTCCTCCTGGATCCTCCAGGAGCTCAGCGAGAGGCCTCTGCCCTTGTAGCCTCGTTATGTCCCGTCATTAACGACTCCTCTTAATTCTTTTCATCAAAGCAATGTTTGTAAGCGGTTCTCTGCACAAAAAAATGCCAAGAAATCCAAATTATACATAAAAATACCATTTTTTTCCCCTCCCCCTTTATTCCCTGGGAATACAATTTTCATTTTAATACCTGATGGGTTTTTGGTTTTTTGGGTGGTTTTTTTGTTGTTGTTTTATTTTGTTTTTTTGCACATCCTAAAATTCCAGGCCACTTTTGCCGTCAATACAATGTTTTCCTTCCCACAATCAGCCTCCAAATCCATCCCTGGCATTGTTTAGTTTGTCAAGCAGCATAAGTGTCAAACTAATTGTGCTTCCTGCTCCAAAATCAGACAGGATTTTAATTACCCACCATTACAGAACCCCCTGTCTTTAATTAATGAGGTTTCTGTCGCTGTCTGGGCCCTCTTTTCCCAGAGCCTCAGTGTCTCATCCGTGTTTTTGAGTAACTGGAGGAAAATATTTGGGTTTTTCACCGCTTTTAAATGTTTGGTTTTGATTTTTACAGCTGCTCTGGACCAGCCTGAGATCTGGGGGTCGGTCCAGCCCGCCAACACAAACGTAGAGTCCCCAAAACTTCCGAGACCTTTTCCAACTGGAAGTAAGTGACCACAAAAAATAAATCAATATATCCAGAAATCAGCTCAAAGGTTGGAGTTCTCCTCATCCAGGCTGCGCAATTCCACAATATTTTAAATTAAAGGGGTTTTTGGGGTTGGTTTTTTTTTTCCTCCCCGCTTTGTTTGGGTTCCAGCGGGGTGGAGGAGGGAATGGGATTGATGAGGGATGGAGGGATGGGATGGATCCTGATCCTGCATCTTCATGCCGTGGTTTCTTGGCTGGAAAAGCTGGAATCACCGTTTTTTTTCCAGGAAAATATCAGAAAGACCAGCACAACCCCGAATCCCTGATTTTATTTGGAGCTTCCCCTCTGCCTGGGGGGGCTGGGGAACCATTTCCTTCCAGAAATGCCCCTGTAAAGCGCTGCTGGTTAATTAGGCGCTGTTAATTAGCCCCAGCATTCCCGATCCCAGATTCACATCTCGGGTCCAGGTGGGATGAGCACGGGAGAAAGGCGGAGGCAGCTCCGTGCCTCAGGGAATCCAGGTTTAATTAAAACGCTAATTTAGGGGTTTGAAACAGGAGCGCAGGCTGAGATGTAAAAATTAAAAAGGGGGCGAAATTCCATCAAACCCAACAAAAAATGACTTCCCACTGCCAGAGGGCCGGGATGGGTGAGATGTTGGGGAGGAATTCCTCCTGGTGAGGGTGTGGGGAGGGATGGGATGAAATTCCCTGCGGCTGCTCCATCCCTGGAAGTGCCCAAGGTCATTCCCAGCCACGCTGATATGATTGATATGATCGATATGATTTATATTATTGATATGATTGATATTATTGATATGATTGATATTCCATGGAATGTGCCGCTCTCCAGCTGATCCCGTCCCCTCTCTGTGCTCTGTTCCAGCCCCTCCGCCGCTCCCCCCGAAGAACATCCCGGCCACGCCGCCGCGCACCGGCTCCCCCCTGCCCCCGGCCATCGGTAACAGCCCGGGGGTGGCACCGGGGGACGGGTCTGTCACCAGCTCTGGGGTGGCACTGAGGGGACAGGTCCTGTCCCAGCCCGGGGGTGGCACTGGAGTGGGGGGACAGGTGCCATCCCCACCCCGGGCAGGGACAGGTCCCCGTGGCTGCATTTTGGACACGGATTTGGTCCCTTTGCTTCCCCTTCCCTTGGAATTCAGGGAATTCCAGACCGGGCTGGCTCGGGAGGATTTTATATCCTCTCCATTTCCCGTGGGCAGGGACAGCTCCCACTGTCCCAGGCTGCTCCAAACCCCTCCCAGCCTGGCCTTGGACATTTCCAGGGATCCAGGGGCAGCCATGGCTTTGTGGTGTTTTGGTGGATGCTGCAGCAGAAGCAGCACAAAGATTTTTTTGGCTCCCAAGCTGGTCTCACCCGGTGAAATTAATGTTCTTTACACCATCCCTGCCTCTGGATCAGTCACTCTGGGAATGCAGTGCCGGATTAGCTTTAATATCCCGCTGAAAACTGGGATATACTCCCAGCTCCAGAGCCCTGGAGCAGCCCTGCAAGGCTGTGCTGAGGAAGGAAGAGGGTGGGCAGGCTCTGCCTGTGGCAGGGAGCTGCTCCCGCATTCCCTGCCCCCCAAATTCCTACTGAAAGGTGGGGAAAGCCCTCCTGGTAGTGCAGGGAGGGGAAATTGTGCTGGGAATGACAACCCGAGGGCAGGGATGGAAAGGTGTTGAATGCAGCCAGAGGACATCAGGTGCTTCCAAGCATATAATTCATGGTGCTGGCTGATGGAAAAGCGAGATTTGGGCAGGGAAGGCAGCGCCCTGGGATGCATCCTTGGCCGTGAAGAGCTCCCCTGCTGTGTCCATCTCATCCGTGCTCCCATATCCCATTGTCCTGCTTGTGGGAGCAGGGAATGCCGGGCAGGGTGTCCATGTCCATATCCAGCCGTTCCCAGCAGGGAATGCTGGGCAGGGTGTCCATGTCCATATCCAGCCATTCCCAGCAGGGAATGCTGGGCAGGGTGTCCATGTCCATATCCAGCTGTTCCCAGCAGGGAATGCTGGGCAGGGTGTCCATGTCCATATCCAGCCATTCCCAGCAGGGAATGCCGGCTCCCTTGCTGGGCTGTGCCGTGTGTCTGTAACACGAGTGGCTGAGGCCTGATCCTGCCTGGTTTAGCAAATCCCTGTTTTATCCCCCCCTCCCATCCCCAATGCACAACCGCGGGTGGATCCCCAAAACAGAGGAGCAGGGATGGGGTGATGCTGCCACGAGGATCCCAGAAGGACATTTAGGGTTAGGATCTCCCTTCCCTGGATGCGAAACACTTGGCTAATAGATCTCTGGTGGTTCTGGAGTCCAGTGGGGATGTTGGTGTGTGGTGGTTCAGTGAGCAGAGCCCTGAAATCCCGATCTGTGTGCCCTGAAATCCCGATCTGTGTGCCCTGAAATCCCGATCTGTGTGCCCTGAAATCCCGATCTGTGTGCCCTGAAATCCCGATCTGTGTGCCCTGAAATCCCGATCTGTGTCCTGAAATCCCGATCTGTTCCTGCTTGTGGCTGGAATACATTCCCTGTGGCTGGAATACTCTCCCTGCGTGCATCCTGTGCTGCATGCCCAGACTCCAGCATGTCTAAATATATATATTTATTACCTGAGCGTTTATAAATATATATAGAGAGCGAGTGGGGCGTGCCAGGGTGCTGAGTGCACACCTTTGACATCTGCTGATAATTCCGAGTTGCTGATGAGGACGTGATGCTGTTTAGAGGACAAAAAAAGGCCATAAATTCGGGGGGAATTTGGGATTCTCGGCTGGCTCGCGGTGCACGCTCCCTCCTCCAGCCTTTGGATCCCGCGGGATTCATTCCATGTCGCACCTGGCTGTGGTGGTGGAATCCTTCTTGCCCATGAATTATATAGATCTAAATAGGAAAAGGTGATTTTAGAGCCTCTCCCGTAGAAGTAGAGCCCGTAGAGAGTAGCGCAGCCCTCTCTTAATGCTCGGTGTAAAATAAACCTCCTCTGACCACAGGAGGGGACCAGGCAGCAGCAGAGCCCAAACGGGACAAACTCCCGTCCATCAATGACTTGGACAGCATTTTTGGCCCCGTGCCGTCCCCCAAATCTGCTGCTGCCACCGCAGAAGACAAGTGGGTCAATTTTTCCGATCAATCCCCGGAAAACGCTCCTCCGGAATTGTCGCCCCGGGAAAAAGCTCCGTCTCCTCCGGCGGCCGCGGGCAGCCCGGCCAGCGCTCCGGCCGAGCATCCCCGCCCGCTGCCCTCGCCGCTGCAGCTGGAAGAAGCTCCCAAGAAGCTTTCCGAGCAGCCCCACCTTAAGGATGATTCCGCCGAGCCCGTCGCCTCTCCTAAAGATTTTGGGCCGGGCCAAAGAGCCACCCCGCCGCCCCCTCCGCCGCCCACCTACCGCGCCGTGGTCTCGTCCCCCGGACCGGGCGCCGGCACGGGAAGCACCAGCGGTACGTGCTGTGAGCTCGGGTGTGCTTCGCTGTGGCCGTGGTGTGTCCCAGCCAGCCGTGCCGCTCTTCCAGCCTGTGTCCTGCGTCCTTCCCTGCGCTCCCGTGAGGCTCAGAGGCTTCCCCAAAGCTCCCCGGAGCCGCCCATTCTCCCACCCCAAAATCTGGCGCGGGGTTGTTGTTGTTGTTGTTGTTGTTGTGTTCTCCGTGGGAATGGAAATGTTCCAGGAGAATCGTCTGGGTGAGCCTCAGGTGCAGGGTTTGGGTTTTTGGAGGTTTTTTTTTTTTTAAGCGCATCCTCTCATCCCGGTAATTCACGGGTGTGAACGGCGCTCGGTTCCTGCTGGGATGGGGGGATGCGTTCCGGGGTGAACCTCTCCCGCGGGAGAAGCTCTGCCTGCCTTCACCTGCTTAATTATAACGGCTCATTAGGGCAAACGAGCTGGAGGAGGCTGAGTTTACTCACAGGAGCTGCAGCTTGAGCTTGTTCTTTTAGGGCCTGACCCCGGCTCAGCCTCTGTGCTCCCACCCAAGGTGGTTTTTTGTGGGAATCACCCCACGGAGCCTTGAGGAACCCGCACTGGTGGTGGGATGGGGTGGGGTGGGGTGTGCAGCCCCCCAGCTCCGTATCTGAGCCCTGTCGCCCTCCTCATGGGAGCCTGGAATTTGTGTCCCTTTCCTGGGGGTTTTGTCGCTTCCAGGAGCGTCCCCTGAGTGTGGCTGGTGCTGCAAGTGTGGCTTTGCTTCAGTGCTGGTGGCTTTTCTGTGCTGGCTCGGGGGGTGGGTGGGGTCCCTGTGGGGGCTGCAGCGTCCAGCCTGAGCTGGAACTACTCCAGGAGCTCCCAGGAGCGGGAAACACCGGGATTCATCCGGGCTCTCCCAGCCCATTCCCTACTGAGCACAGGATGGAGAAGCACCAGAGGGCTCCCCATGTGGGGACGGATGGATGGATGGATAGAATCCATGGATGGATGGAATCCATGCATGGATGGATGATGGATGGATAGAATCCATGGATGGATGGATGGATGATGGATGGATAGAATCCATGGATGGATGGATGGATGATGGAGGATGGATGGATGGATGGATGGAGCAGCCCCACTCAGCCTGTCCCAGAGGATGCACATCCCTTCTCCAGGAATTATCTCCTGTCTCAGTCTGGACTGCTTTGCCTCCCTCTGCGCCTCAGTGTTCCCAGGGCTGGGAATCCAAAGTGTGGCCACAGCCACACAAAAAAGGTGCAAACCCTCCAAAAGCTGCATCAGATCCAGCACCTGCCCCGCTCCTCCCGCCTTCTCAAGGCTCGTTTTTGGGTGCTGTGGAGCAGAGCTCCCCCAGGATCTCCCCCTGCCCTCAGCTCCCCTGGCTGGCACCGGGGCAGGCTCACACTGGAAGAGTTGGGTTGGAAGGGATCCCAAAGCTCGTCTTGTTCCAACCCCCTTCCACCACCCCTCGTTGCTCCGAGGCCAGCATTCCAGCAGATTTCACATTCCATGCTGGTTTCCACATGCTGTCAGCTTCTGGTGCAGGAAATATCCATCCCCTGGGTGGAGGCCACCATCTGCCCAGGGCTTTGGCCACAGAACCTATCCAGGGAGGCTCCATCCTGTGACACTGAGTCCTGCAAGGTCACTTTTCCCTCAGTCTTTCCCATTTTGAAAGGCTTTCATTGGGGTAAGGAAGGAAAAATTCAAACGTTGGTTCCCAAATTAGGCCTTGAAATAAAAGCGGCTTGAATTTTGGAGTTGTGCAAAGGAATGACTGGAATTTACTCCCTTTAATCCAGGCCCTCTCTTGTCTGAGCCTGCTCTCCTTCACCTCTTCTTGTTTCTATAAACCCAACTTTGATCTCTAGCTCAGATTAAGTAATCACCCAAAAAACATAGGAAATTATTCTCTTGGAAGTGGGAAAATGATGAAGTCATCACCTCATCGGTCTGAGCCAAGCACGGAGCTGTTCTGTCCTGGGCCAGCTATCCTGGGAATGAGCTGGGATCTCCCTCCCGTTCCTGCTGCCCTTCACGTCCTGGTGCCACCTCCGTGCAGCTCCAGCTGCTGCTGGCCTCTCCTGGAAGGAATTCCCGTGTGTGGAGCGGAGCAGGCTCCTGGAACCCCCGTGAAGCTCCTGTTGCCTTTTCCATTTGATCCCAGGAATTCCCTTCGCAGCAGGGCCAGGGCCCGTGTGAGCCCTGGGATCAGCTCCCCTTCTTTGGGAGACTCTTCCAGAGGCTTGGGAGCTGTGCTGTGCTCCCAGATATCCCAGAACCTTCCTCTCCCACTCTTTCCCTTCTTTGCTGGGCCAAAGCTTTGTCCTGTGATGAGAATCCCTAATTCCCAGCGGGTTCATCCATCACCCTATCCCTCCTCTCCCTATTTTTTTGGGAAAGCCATAAAACTCCTCCCGTGCCAACTTTCCGGAGGGAACCGGGCACTGAGCAGCCTCTGCCAGGAATCCACGGGCATCGACCGTTCTGGAACGTTCTGTGCCCATCTCTGGGGGTGCTCTGGGGCGGGCAGCAGTGGGGCAGAGCCTGTGGGGCGCTCACAGCTCCCGTTTGTTGCAGGTTCCTCGTCCCCGGCTCGTCCTGGAACGCCGCTGGCCACGTGTGGCACCCCCCCGCCGCCACCGCCCCGACCCCCGTCCCGGCCCAAGCTGCCCCCTGGCAAACCCCCCGTCAGCGATGTGGTACGTGGGGAGGGGCGGGGGGCGTTCCCAGGCTGGGATCCCGGGATGGGATGGGCTTTTCCAGGGTTTGTCCAGGGGGGGGGAATTCCCCGTGGGAAGGGCAGTGCCAGCCCGGTGGTGCCAGCCACCACGGGCCAGGGTCAGGGCAGGGGATGGGATGGGAATGTGCCCCAGGGAAGGGTTGGGGGGCAGTTCCAGCTGTCCCAGGAGCGGTGCCTGGCTCAGGGGGTGACCAGCCCCTGTCCCGTGTGCCACCCCAGCTGCCTCAGGTAAGCCGGGAGGGTTTTAGGGTTGATAATGAGGGTATAAAATGATAAAATGACTTATTATTAGACAAATTCTGTTGGATTCTGTTGATTAAATGACCCCAAAATGATCCTTAAGGGCCTGGGGAGCTGGCACCTCCTGGGCACCGCTCCCTTCCCCGTGCCCAGCCAGTTCCATCCACCCCACGGCCCCTGGAGCTCCCATCCCCGGTGTGGATGGCTGGGAATTTCACACCATGCTGGGGATCACCTCATTTCCCAGCTCCAAGCTCAAATGCCATCGGCATTTTGTCATTCACCCAATGACAGCTCAAATCATTCCCATTTTTCCTCTGGAACACCAGCAGAGCAATCGGGAGGGCCCAGGCAAAATTGTATTTGTTTGACGCAAACGTTTCTGCGCGGATTTCCCTTTAACTTTGTGTTCTTTTATGTTTCTCTCCAGTCCAGGCCTTTTAGCCCTCCCATCCACTCCTCCAGCCCTCCTCCGATAGCACCTTTAGCCCGTGCTGAAAGTACTTCTTCCATCTCTTCCACCAATTCCCTGAGCGCAGCCACCACTCCCACCGTCGGTAAACACACACAGCGCTGCTGTTCTTTCACCTTTCCTGCGCCCTCGGATCATTCCTGAGGCCTTTGCACTCGCTAGGTCCTTCTTTGGGGTCGGACTCGTTTGTTTCCATCGGGGTTTTGGATGCCAAAAGGGATGTGAGGGGGATCAACTGCCAGGGAAGTTTGTCCAAATGTTGTGGGAAATGGATGTTTGGTGAAAGTCAGGGGAGTTACGATATAAAATGTGGTTCTGGGCTGTAAATTGGGGCAAAATAAGCTTTTTTTTTTGGCAGGGGATGCTTGTGCCTGGAGGGGAGTGGGGCTGGAAGCCAGACCTGGGGGTGCAGGAATATTGAATCTCTTGTAATGTCTTAAATTCCCACTTAGAGCAGTAAGAGGAAAAGGGGTCTCGGAAAAGCCTTTTCCCAGCCGCTTGGCACGTCCTAGGGCAGAACCAAACGCTGCCCTTTCCTTTTGGAGGCACATCCCGACAAAAAGTGGGGTTTGCCAAAACCCCGGGGCTGAGATGAGGAATGGGAATTGAGTCTGGCTGGCAGCTCCCAGCTCCAGGTGCTGGGTCCCCCCACGCCTCCCTCCTCCCTCCCCTCTGTCCCCTCCTGTCCCCTCTGTCCCTGCTGCCAGCGCTCCCCCCTCCTCCTCCTCCTCCTCCTCCTCCTCCTCCTCCATCCCTGCCACCCCTGGCTGCCGTCCCCCCGCTTCCCGCAGCTCCATCTCCTCCCAGGATCACCTCCCTCCTCTGTCTTTTCTTCCCAAGCCTCTGGAAAAGCCAGCCTGGCGGGAGTTCCCGTGTGCTCGGCCGCCGCGCTGGCCGCAGCGTTTGTCGCTGCTGTCACCCTGGGGAGCGGTGGCACTGCCACCAAGAAAGGTGACACCGCTGTCCCCGCGCTGCCGGTGGCCCCGAGCCCTCCCAGTGGCTTTGCTGGAGTCTCCGAGCGCGTCTCCATCCTGTTGTTCCTTCACTCTCAGGTGTTGTGGGTGCTCGTCCCTGTTCCAGCTGTCACTGTCACAGCACCTTGCTGGGGAAATGTCACCTGGACAGAAATGTCACCTGGACAGGGAGCTGGGAAATTGTCACCTGGACAGGGAACTGGGGAAATGTCACCTGGACAGAAATGTCACCTGGACAGAAATGTCACCTGGACAGAAATGTCACCTGGACAGCGAGCCCTATGCCGTGGGCACCACTGGTGGCACCACTGGTGGCCCTGAGCGGTGCCTGAGGGCACAGTGGCCACAGGGACACGGCTTTAGGGGAGGGGACAGCCAGGCTGAGGCCAGAGCCGGTGCCAGGGGCTGCAGGAGGCTGGGAGGGTGATGGGAGCGAGCTGAGGGCTGCTCCTGCCACCCGAGCCCAGCCTCTCCCTTTGGATTTCTTTTTTTTCCTCTCATGTGTTTTTGGGAACAAAAGCTGCTGTTTGATGATTTAATGAGCTCCCCGTGCCGAGCAGAGGGGCAGAAGTTGGGGTCCCACACTCTCCGTGGAGGTTTCCTGGGAGGAGAGCCAAAATCCAGGCTCTGGGGTCACCCCTGACTGGGGAACTCCAAAGGGGGCAGCCAGGAGGAGCATCCCAGGTTTTGTAGTGTTGCACTTCCAGCTCCATGCACAGGTTATGCTGAGTGGGAAGGGATCAATGGGATCATGGATCCAACTCCTGCCCTGCACAGACCCCCCCAACATTCCCACCCTGGACATCCCTGGGAACAGTGTCAAAACGCTCCTGGAGCTGCTGCGGCAGCCTCGGGGCCGGGACCATTCCCTGGGGATCTGGGCAGTGCCAGCAGCCTCTGGATGAGGAACCTTTCCTGCTGGAATCCAACCTAAACCCTGGGAAAAGCTGTTTGGGGCAGAGACAGAGAGAGGCAGGGTTTGGGATCTGCATTGTCCCCACCCAGGGTGAGCATCCAGGAAAATCCACAGCAGAGGAAGGAGAACTTCCAATTCCCAAAAGAGGAGGAGCTGGGGTGGGAGGAGTGCAGGGATGGGATCAGGGATCGCTGCAGGTCCCGGGGGCTGGGACACCCCGATCCAGCTGGGGCTGGAGTCTGTCTCCACCTCATTCCCCGTCTGGCAAAGTCTGATGGAGTTTGTCCGGGAGCACGGGGAGGGATGCTCCATCTCCGTGTCCTCCGTGCTGTTCTGGTGTGCTTTCCTCGTTGGCTGCATGTCAGTCTGGACAATTCCTGGCAGAGCAAGGAGCTGTTTGATTCCCGTGTCGGTGCTTTTTCCGTCATTTCTCTGTCTCTGCGTTGACACGAGTGCGCTGCTTGGTTTCACTTGGGATCCGTGTTTTCATTCTTTTTGTGTTCTTTTTTTTTTTTTTTCTCCTTTCTTTTCTTTCTTTCCTTTGCGTTTCTTCTGCTTGTGTTATCAGAGGATGATGCTTTTATTGACAAACTGCCCGCGTTTGAAAGGCGCAGTGAAACGCCGGCAGGTACTGTACTAGCAGGGAAATTTCCAAGATTTTCCAAAGAAATCCGCCTTCGGAGCGGCACCCACCGCTCGCAGCACCTTGCATGACAGTTTCTCAGTGACTCAAAGGACTTGGAGGTGGAAGGTTGGCACCTCCCGAATTCCAAAAGGTTCATCTAACAGCTCAAAAAGCTGTTTTTCCCCCACTCACACCCCCCCGATCCCGAGTTATTCCAGCGTGGCGGCTTTGGAGGCGGTGGGAGCGCAGGGTTGTGATGGGAAAGGGAGGACTCCAGCTAGGATCCGCTGCTCTGTGTGTGTGTGTGTCCGGTTCTCTGCAAGTGTCGTGTCCTGAGATGCGAGTGCGAACGTGTCACTGTCCCTGAGTGTCACCGCGGGGTGGCACCCGGAGCAGCATCCCGCCGGGAATGCTGAGGAGCGCAGGCACAACCCGCCAGCAGCCGACAAACCTCTTCTACCGTGGCCAAAAAACCAAAACCCCTCCAAAGCGCTCAGTCAGCGGGCAGAACGACTCTTCCATCTGGGCTTCCATAGCTTTGCTTCCCGCTTTGCGTCCCGAGCCAGCGGCCGGTGTCACATCCCTGTCCCTGCACGTGTGACCGCCCCGCAGCGCCTCGCCCCCTCCCCGTAGCGACATTAATGACCTGCTCTGTGACTCACACTGTGTCCTTCTCTCTCCCTCTCCTTAACCTTTCCCATCCCGCTTCAACTCCTGGCCATACAGAGAATGAACAGCCTTCCCTCGTTTGGTTTGACAGAGGAAAGTTTTATTTGACTTTCGAAGGTAAGTAGTGCAAAGCACAGCCGGTAACCGCTCGCTCCCCTCGCTCTCTCGCTCCCGGGGTTCCCTTCCGAGGCTCCATCCAATCCAGCTTTCCAGGCTCGAATGCTATGGCCACTTGGATGGCATCGCCAGTCCCACCGGAATCGCTTTTGGTTTGATTTGTGCCATTTGTCCCGCTGATCTCTTTTTTTTTTTTTTTACTCGTTGATTTCCTTTGCCAAAAAAAACCAAACCAAACCAACCAAACAAAAAAATAATCCGACCCAAGCAAATAAAAAAAACCCAAAGGAACATTCTGAATATTCCCAGACGGAGGTGAAAACCAGGGAGCGGAGCCGCTTGCACTGCCGAGGAACTTGACTCTGCCAACCAGGACTTCTCCCCCCTCTCGCTCCCCGGAGCGGGCTGGGTGCGGTCGATCCAAACCCACAGGGTGTCGGATCCCCTCCTCCCGTCCCAGATTTCGGCAGGAAAGGCTCCGGGAATGCTCTGGCAGCGCCGGCACCACCCCGGAGCCGCTGCCAGGTTGTGCTGCTGGGGCGCTCGCTTGGAAGTGCCGGAGGGTTTTGGGTCCCTCGTGGATGAGGGGCTTTGGGGAGGATGCAGGGAGGGGAAAACCTCGGTTTGGGGCCGATGGCACCTTCTCCGAGCAGTGTCACAACCCCGAGGGACAGAGCGGGAGCGGCCGGTCCTGCCGGGAGAGCCCCGAGGCTTTGGGGAGCTCCAACCCGCAAGCACCGAGCCAGCATTTCCCTTGGAACAGCGGGAGGAAAAGAGGGAGGAAAAGAGGGAGGAAAAGCGGGAGGTTTGCTCGCAGAGCGGAGGGATTCCCGCAAATCCCCAGGGAGCGCCTGGGAGCTGTTGTGGAGCCTGCGGGCCGAGCTGGGGGGTGACTCCGTGCGCCATTCCCAAAGTGTCCCCTCCTGCAAAGGAGTGGCCCGGGGTGGCACTGCCCCGCTGGGGACACCAGGGTGGCACTGCCTGGCTGGGGACACCAAGGTGGCACTGCCCAGCTGGGGGTGACAGGAATGGCCTGGGATGGCACTGCCCGGCGTGGGCTGCTTGGGGTCATGGAGCAAACCCGTCCTGGTGACAGTGATGGCTGAGCAGCAGCAGAAGGCAGGGATCAAGGACCAGGGCTCCTTAATTTCCTCCTTTTTCCTTGGCCCCAAGGTCCCCACTCTGACAATTCCCACTTCGCTGTCCCCACTCCAGCAGACCCAGGAGCTGCTCCCTCCTGGTGCCCAAATCCCTGTTTGGGTTTCCTTTCTCAGGAAAGCTCATTTGGGAGCTCTGGGAAGAGCTGAGCACAGCAGGGACAGCATTATCCCTCAGCAGGAATATTCCAGCTCCACATTCCCGCTGCTCCGTGCCTCCTTCCTGCCCCTCGCTCAGCCCAGCGGCAGCGCTGCGCATTTGGGGCTTCTCTTGTGCCTCGGAATCTGAACCTTGGATTGGAATTCTTGGAGCTGGTTCTGGTGGTGTGAATGGTCTGGAGCACGGGGTGGGATTATCCCGGGAATGCAGGTGTGGCACTGCCTCCAGGATCATCCCACAGCTCAGCAAGGAGCTGTCTCGCTTCCACATGCTGGATTTCCCAATTTATCTCTAAATATTTAATCCCAGCTCAAAAATAAAAAAAAGATAAACTTCATGTGCAGGGAAGCAAGAGGAAATGGGCTGAGTTTGGTGTCTGGAACTCAGGGCATGGAATGCCAGAAGGGAAATGAAGGTTTCTTTCTGGATTTGGGTTTTTTTTTGTGGCAAGATCCATGTGCTTGATGAGCACAGGGCAGTTTGTCCCGTGTGGAAGGAGCTGTGGCGATGCTGTCGTGCAGAATCATGTTCTAGGACCCCCTGGCTACTCCACTGCTGCATTTTCCACTTCTTGCAGGGAAAAACAAGGCAAATTAGGCTGATCTGCTGCTTATGGTTGGATCCAAAGCTCCATAAAGTGGATTTTTTTTCTCTCTCTGTTATTATCAGGTCGTTTGTGCAAATGAAATGTTTATAAGAATGGCTTTTGAAGCAGGAGCTGGAAAGGCAGGTTTGGGGTGGCGTTGTGCCACAGCGACTGGATTTGTCTCTCAGGTTTCTGGACAATAATTGCAATGCTTATAATAGTTTATACATTTCTTTTTTTAGTGAAAAACCTGAGCATAAAAATGAATTTATTCTCTGGAGCCATGAAGGGAAGGATTTTTGGATTCTTGAGGGAAGAGTGGAGGGAACCGAGCACCCCAATTCCACCCACGTGGTGTTCAGACCATCAGAAATGAGGATGTTCTGTTGTTGTTGGACTCACATTCCCACATCCCAGCTGAGCCTGGGGATCCGTGAGATCTCCCTGCTCACTCCTGATTCTTCATCCTGGAGAATCAAGGATGCAGAGGAAGAAGGAGACATGAAAAATGAGGAGTGTGGTGGTGTGGGAGAGCCCTGCCCCACATTCCATGCCCTGCCATGGGCTCCAGGCTAAACCCAGCTGGAATTTGTGCATTTGGGAGTTGGGTCTTTCCTTCTCCAAGGAACGATGATCCCATTGCCAAGCCCTTCCCTACGAGGCTCCTCTGCTGGTTGATAGCCCCGGTTTCCCCCTCCACATCCAGACTTTGAGGATGTTTTTCCATCTGTATTTCCGGGCGGATGCAGTGGGAATATCCCGGGTTTGGTGCTCTGAGGGGTCTGGAGCTCTGGGAGGGGAGCAAGGATTTGCTGCCTGTGGTGTCTTTGGGCAGGGTTTGTAGGAAACGTGGTGTCCCACGTGCTGCACGTCCCCTCAGCCATGGGGGTCTGGGGTGTCCCGCGGTTCTGGGGAGCTGCCCGTGCCCTCACCTGGAGCTGTGTCTGTTCTTCACTGGGAATTCCATCAGGGAATATCCCAGGCTGTGGCCTCAGGAGGCTCTGGGCTCGTTAGGATAATGAATGTGTGTGTGACATGGGTCTGGTGTGTGTGGGTGAGGTGTTCCATCCCGGAACAGCCGGATACACTCCCTGAGCATCCCCATCCCAGGCTGCAGCTGGAATCTCTGATTCCCCTGAGCCTCTTGGGATGTGTGACACCTGGGGCTGCTCCCATTTTTTACACTTTTAGACGTTGGAAGGGAAAATCCCTCATCTGCACCTCCAGGAAGGAGCACTGGGATTTATCCATTAATGCTCAGGTGCCTTGGAAAGGTGTGAGGATCCCTCCTTGCAGGTGGAAACCATAATTTCTCCCATTAAAATACCCAAACTCAAAGTGTAATTGAAGTGACACAAGTGCTTCCCCCCGGGAGATGTTGCAAATCCCAATTCCCTGTCCCCAAACCCCTGTTATTCCCAGGGTGCAGCAACAGGAAGCGGCAGAGAAGGAAGGGAAAGGATCATTTTTGAGGATGGCCCAAGGAGAGGAGCTCCCCAGGAACGTGACGCCTTTTGCTCAGCTTTGCTTGGGCAAATATCCCGAATATCCCCTCATCCTCTCTGCCTGGGGAGGTGCCGCCCTTCCCGGGGCTGGCATTGGAATTCCGACGGCTCTGGCTGGAGCTGGCAGGAGCTCGCACACTCCGGGAAAACCTCGGGCTGGATCCATCCCCTCTTCTCCCAGCCTGGCAGCGATGGGGATGGAGCGAGGCGGCCCCTGGACGAGCTGCCCCTCTGGAGTCCTTTGCTGTTCTTTTTTAGCTGCTTTGGGGTGAAACAATCCTCGTGCTTCACCCGCTCTGCAGGACGGGGGGACAAAAAAAGGCTCCAGAATGGGGCATGGCAGGGAATAGGTGAGGCTGAAGGGCGGTGCCAGGGCAGGGGATGATCTCTCCAGGGGTTTTTGGGTGTCTGTGGGATCCTTGGACATCTTTGGGTGCTTTCCATGGGGAAGAGGGTGGTGGGCACCACCTTGGTGCTGGGCACGGGACTCATGGTCCCAGGGAGGGTTTCCAGCACAGCTGGAGCTCCTGCGGAGCACTGCGGTGACGATTTCATCCTCAAACTTTGTCTTTTGGAAACAACAACTCCTGGCCAGCAAAGGGAAACCTGTGTGTGATCCTGCAGGGCTGAACTATTTTAGAGCCTGGCAAGTGTCCGTGGATGCACAGCACCACTGAGGCAAACTTTTCCACTTTTCCAAATTGTGGAATCCTAGAACGGTTGGGTTTGGAAAGAACCTGAAATCTCAGCTTGTTCCAGCTTCCACCATCCCAGCTGGCTCCTGTCCAAGCTGGGCACTTCCAGGGATCCAGGGGCAGCCACAGTTCCTCTGGACACCCTGTGCCAGTGGCTCTGTTTTCCCAGGTTTCCGATGATCCGCAGATTTCGGGCGCTGAGGTTTCCGCGGAGCGAGCGGGGCGCGGAGCTGGCAGGAGAGGAGAGCAGAGTGTGCCGGGGATTGCAGGACCGCCCTCAGCTCGGGGGGGAACATCAGGGGGCCGCTGCCACCACCCCGATCCCCAGGGGCAGCCTGAGCCCCCCGGCTGTGCCACAGGGAACCCCCCCAGCCCCTTTTTGCGGGGCCCAAAAAGCGACTGCAAAAACTGTCATGCAAAGGCTGCCGTGCGTGGCAGCCCCCGCATGCTGCTCCCGCCTGGCCACCTCCATCCATCCTTTTCTTTGCTTGCTTTTGGCAGCAGGGGCGGGCGTTGGGTGGCATGTTGGGGAGGGGAAATAAGATCATTTTTTGTGAAAAGCCTCATCCAAAGCCTGGGGGATTTTTAATTTTATTTTGGTGATTTGCCCATCGAGTCAGGCTGGGGGGCCGGGCAGCGGGGGCTGGCAGGTGCCAAGGGGACATCTCTGCTCTGTTGCAGGCTCGTCACGAGGCCCCAGCCCCCTGACCATGGGGGCACAGGACACCCTGCCCGTGGCCGCGGCCTTCACCGAAACCGTCAACGCCTACTTCAAAGGCGCTGACCCCAACAAGTAGGTGCTGAACCCCGGGTTTGGGGTGTCCCTGGGTGGGTTTTGGGGTTTGGAGGGGGACGGGAGGTGGTGGGGTGTGTGGGGGCTGCCGTGGTGCCCCGTTTGAAGGTGTTTCTGCTGGGGGAAAGGGAGGTGAGGAGTTTGTGTGAGGAATCCGGGGGTGTGGACGCGATTTTCTGAGCCTGAGAGAGTTTCAGCCTCTCGGTGGCTGGCCTGTTTCCCAAGGGAAAACCTTTTGGGAAACTTTTCTCTCTCAAGGACTGTTTTGTAAATAAGATTTTAGTTCTCAACACAAAGACACAGATGTTCTGAGAAAGACACAGATGTTCTGAGATGTTTTTTCTCTTGTCCCACCAGCGGGATGAGGGAGGTGTTGTTCCTTGTACCAATTGGGTTAACCTGTATTGGAACACCTCATAAAAAGGCTTGAAAACCCCAAAATAAAGGCTTTTCTCCTCCTGAGGAAATAAAACCTCGGCTGCTGTGATATGAAACCTCACTTCCCACTTTGTGGGGCGACACGGGGGCCGCAGCCTTCCCCTCCCATGCCTGACCAAAACGGGATGGCATTCCAGCAGAAACTTGGAAAGCTTTCCCACCTGTGCTTTTAGACCCTCTAAAAGATAAAACCCAAAAGGGCAGACCGAGGACAAATTAATTTCACCAAAACACTGAATAACAGCAAAAAATTAAGAAGCTTTAAACAGGGCAGCGATATTTAAGAGGATCCCTGTCAGCCCTTGTGCTGTTTCTGCTCTCTCTGAGGCCAGCAGAGCGCAGGGTGGGGAGGGGGGACTGTCCCCACACCATCCATGGCACTTTCCCTCCCTCTCTGCTGCATTTTGAGCCCCCTTTGCCCGCCCTGGCTCTGCTCTGGGCGCTGCAGGTGCATCGTGAAGATCACGGGGGAGATGGTGCTGTCCTTCCCGGCGGGCATCACCCGACACTTTGCCAACAACCCCGCTCCGGCCGTGCTCACCTTCCGCGTGCTCAACTTCAACAGGCTGGAGCACGTCCTGCCAAACCCCCAGCTCCTCTGCTGGTAAGCCTTTCCCTCAGCAGCTCCCCCGGGGAACGCGGGATTCCAGGAAATCTGGGTGTTCGCAAGAGTGCGTGGCCTGAGGTATCTTCCTTGGAAGGGGATGTTGGGAATGAAACCCTCAAACCCTTAAATGCGTGGTAAAATCCCAGAGTGGTTCAGGTTGGGAGATCATCAGGATTATTCTGATAGATATCAGGATTATCCCACGGGCAGGGACACCACCCAGGCTGCTCCAAACCCATCCAGCCTGGCCTTGGGCACTGCCAGGGATCCAGGGACAGCCCCAGCTGCTCTGGGAATTCTATCCCAGGGCCTGCCCACCCTGCCAGGGAACAATTCCTGCCCAAGATCCCATCCAGCCCTGCCCTCTGGCACTGGCAGCCATTCCCTGTGTCCTGTCCCTCCATCCCTTGTCCCCAGTCCCTCTCCAGCTCTCCTGGAGCCCCTTCAGGCCCTACAAGGGGCTCTGAGCTCTCCCTGGAGCTTCTCCTCTCCAGGTGAGCACCCCCAGCTCTCCCAGCCTGGCTCCAGAGGGGCTCCAGCCCTGGAGCAGCTCCAGGGTTCCTCTGGGCTCTGCGTCCTCCTGATGTGGGGCTGGGGCAGCTCTGCAGGTGCAGCCTCACCTGAGCAGGGCAGAGGGGCAGAATCCCCCCCTTTCCTGCTGCCCTCACTGGGGGATCAGCCCAGGACTTGGGGGGCTCTGAGTCGCAGTGCAGATGGATCAGGAGAAGCTGGAGTTGTGTGGGAGGGAGCCAATAGAATATAGAATGTATAATGTGTAATGTATAATACATAATATATGACGTATAATATATAATGTATCATGTATAATATATAATGTATCATGTATAATATATAATGTATCATGTATAAAGTATAATGTATAATATATATTAAAATTATAATTATAATATATTATAATATATAATATATTATATAATATAAAATTATGATATATATTATTTAATAAATAATTATAATATATAATGTTTTCTATAATATTTTATATTTTACATTTTATCTGTACTTTACCATACCATGCTATAATATAATATAATATAATATAATAACATCTAGAGGCAGGACTGAGTGCAGCCCCTGTGCTGTGCAGAGCAGCTCTCTCCTGGCCAGGCAGGTTATCCCAAGGATTCCTTCTCCTCTGTGCAGTGACAACGTGCAGAGCGACTCCAACTCCAAGGAGTTCTGGGTCAACATGCCAAATCTGATGACTCACCTAAAGAAGGTATCGGAACAGAAACCTCAAGCCACCTATTACAATGTGGATATGCTCAAATACCAGGTAGGGGTTTCTTTTGTGAGATAAAACCGTGCCCCCAAAATTAAAATAAATAAAAATTTAAAAACTGTGCTGATTATGGCTGTAAAAAAATGGTGTTTCCCTAGTGCAGAGTAGAGCTAATGTGAGGTGGGGGCTTGGTGTCCCACTGTCCCTTCTGTGTGGCTCTGGGTTGTCTGGCTTTAAGCCCAGTACTAAATGCAGCGGGAATTCAAGGTCTTGCCTCCGAATGCGATGTCCGCGTCTGTAAAACGGGATTTCTCCCTTCAGCCCTACGGAAACTAAATGTTTTTTCTGTCATTTTGGAAGGTATCTGCCCAGGGTATTCAGTCTACTCCATTAAACCTTGCAGTGAGCTGGCGGTGTGACCCTGCAAGCACTGACCTGCGCATCGACTACAAATACAATACAGAAGCAATGACCACACCGGTAGCTCTAAACAACGTCCAGTTCCTCGTCCCCGTCGACGGAGGAGTAACCAAACTTCAAGCTGTGCTTCCTCCTGCTGTCTGGTAGGGATTGCTCATCCTGGGCCCGCCTGGAATTCCCATCCTGCTGCAGGAGGGTCTGTGGGTGGGAGCTGGGGGCACGCTGGGGACCCAAATATTTGAGGGCGTTCCCATTCCCTTTCTCTTGGCATTCCCACAAGGAAATGGTCAGAGATGAAGGGATGTGTGCAGGCAGCAGAGCATCAGCCCTTATCTTGTGTTTTGGCTGCTTTATCCAGGGTTTAGAGGGATGCACAGCCAGGCCCTGGCACAGGGAGCTCAGAGAAGCTCTGGCTGCCCCTGGATCCCTGGAAGTGCCTGGATACGGCTTGGAGCAGCTTGGGATAGTGGGAGGTGTCCCTGCCCTGGCAGGGAGTGGGACTGGATGAGATTTAAGATCCCTTCCAACCAAAACACTCTGGGATTCTGTGGAATTCCGGGATTTTGTCGCTGCCCTAGGCACTGGCACGTTTTCACATCTCTTGCCCATTGCTCACCTGCAACCCTCATAACAATCATACAATTATTTCCTTTGGAAAAGCCTTCCAGCCCATCCATGAGCCCAGCACAGTGAAACCCAAATCCAAGCTCCCAAAATTTCCACTTCAGAGCAGCTCCCCCCAGCCAAACCCAGCCTTTAGCAAAATTCCAATTACTCCTTGGCAATGTCTTGATTCCTACAGAAACGCTCTTCTCCGTGTGTTTGCAGGAATGCCGAACAGCAAAGGATATTGTGGAAGATCCCTGATATCTCCCAGAAGTCAGAAAACGGAGGTAATCCTGCAAATCCTCACGTCATTAACTCAGAACCCTTCAGTCAGACACCGACCCGCCGACGCTGCCGGCACACAGACCCAGAGCCCCGGATTCCTGCCGGGGCTCACTGGGGACAAAACTATTTCATTTTGGAGCTTAAAAAGCAGGGCTGTGTGCCACCAGCGCTGCTCTGCCAACCAGCCTGGCATCCCGAGGGGCATTCCCACGCCGGGCCGGGATGCGCTGCTTTGCCAAGCCCTTGGCTCCCGGTATTGAGGCCCAGCTTGCATCCCTGGATTGTTGTCTCCCATCAGAGCTTTTCCACGTGGAAAGCCATTCCTACAGCTGGGATGTGTGGAAAGCGGGATGGTGCTGGGAGGATGAGGTGCTTTGGGATGCGCCCCACTCCGTTCCTAGCTCTGGGATGTGTGGAAAGCGGGATGGTGCTGGGAGGATGAGGTGCTTTGGGATGCGCCCCGCTCCGTGCTGGCGTTGGGATCCCGCTCACGGGGGTCTCTTTGGGGTTTCCATCGCAGGTGTGGGGTCGCTGCTGGCACGGTTCCAGCTGTCGGAGGGGCCCAGCTCGCCGGCCCCGCTGGCTGTGCAGTTCACCAGCGAGGGCAGCACCTTGTCCAGCTGCGACATCGAGCTGGTGGGCGCCGGCTACCGCTTCTCCCTCATCAAGAAGAGGTTCGCGGCAGGTGGGTGCCGCGGCTCCTTCGGGATGGTCCCCGCAGGTCCCCGCCGTGCTGGGAATGCTCTGACGGGGGTTTGGTGGCTGCTCAAGGCCACAGCTGCTGCTGCAGGGTGGGGACAGAGGGACAGCATGAAATAAATCCTGCTGCCGCTTCCCAGCCTTGCGTTTCGTGGCTCATTCCTGCTCCCGCGTGAAAGGTGAGGGCTGAGATCTCCAGGGCATCTCCCACAAGAGCTTTGGCCCCATTGCTGCAGGGAATAACGGGGATTTTCCTTCATGTTCATTGCTGCAGGGAATGAGGATTTTTCCTCATGTCCATTGCTGCAGAGAATAATGGGAATTTTCCTTCTTGTTCGTTGCTACAGAGAATAATGGGAATTTTTCCTTGTGTTCATTGCTGCAGGGAATAACTGGGATTTTTCCTTGTGTTCATTGCTGCAGGGAAAAACAGGAATTTTTCCTCGTGTTCACTGCTGCAGGGAATAACGAGGATATTCCCTTGGGCCACAGGGCTGGTGGAGGTGGGCAAAAACTCCTGGGAATCAGGGCTGCTCCCTCCCCCCAGCTGATTTCTGATCCCATTTCTAGGTAAATATTTGGCGGATAACTGATGGAAGCTTATGCAAGTCTATGGAAAGTACTATGGAAAATACCCAAGGACTGCTGTGCGTGGAACGGGTTTTAATTACAGTTTAAGGAAAATGAACTAAATCCTGCACTCGGGACATTTCTGTTGGAAGTGTCAACAACTTTCAGCGTTTTTTTTCCTTGGAAAACACCGTCTTGACCAGTCCTGCAGTATTTACTTCTAGATGTAACATTGTTAATGGTTTTAAAATGTAATTATTGTATTTGTAAATTGTACTCATTCCAGTAAGGCTGTATTTTGGCAGTTAGACACTTGAGTTTTAGCATTTTCCCATTCATGAAATGGATGTAATTTAAACTGTGGTATATAAATCTAATAGTAGTACTGTTGAATGGCACAATGCTTACAGAGGTAGATTGCATTTTGTCAATATATACAATTTAAATACGATACCGGTAGCTGTTATGAAGGGGGTGCCTCAGCAAAAGAGAGTTCAGTAGAGCCCACAGGCTGATTTAATTTTCCTTCAGTCCTTAGTACGTCTCACAGCGATCAATAAAAAGCTCAACCTTCAGGTTCAGCTGGTCTAAGTCCAGAAAAATATTGATGGAAAAGTGGAGGTTCCTAGGACAGTCTCCCAGGTAGAAAATCTCACTTCTGCAAGGAGCGTTTACTCCAAATTTCCAGCTCCGTGCTCTGTCAGAGCTGCAGATTCCCTGCTGGAATTTCAGCAGCTCTTCCCTGCCCCGTGTGTTTTGCAGGGACACGGATGAGGAAGGAAGCACAGAGAGGCTGGGTGCTCGCTCTGAGCTCACAGCACCAGCATAAAACCAGTTTTATCCTCCCTTCCCTCCCTTCCCTCCCTTCCCTCCCTTCCCTTCCTTCCCTTCCTTCCCGGAATTGCAGCCGCACCTGCTTCTCTATTTTAGTGCTCAGCTGGCTCGGAGAGATGGGAAAACACATGGAAGTGCTGGACTGGAGAATGGGGGACAAAATATTGTCCCTGTGCACTTTTCCCTGTCCCACTGTGCTCATTCCAGACTCCTGGTGAGAGCTGGTGGCACTCCTGCTGCTGCAGCTGAGTCAAACACAAGAATTTGGCAATATCGAGAGGGAAAATGAAGGAATCTTTGTGGAATCAAACAGAGATGCACAGGAGCATCCATGGAATGGGGTGCTGGGACTTTGGGAATGTGTAAGATGACAAAAAGTGCTGATTTTACAAGTGTTGCCAGGCTTAGGGTGGTGCATTTTACATTGGAGAACAGCCTGGGCATGTTGGGAAGTGCTCACGGAGCAGTTTGGTGTAGGAAAAGGGAGATCTGTGCCCATCTGAAAAGAAAAGAAGGAAATGTGGGGATATTTCAGGTGTGAGGCGGCTCCCAGGCTGAGACTGGGGGGTGAGCTGTGAGTTGACAAAAGGCGGCAGCAGGAAAGGAAAAGCACAGTTCACTCCTGCAGCTTCCCACACCCTCACAGATTTTGGGAGAGCACTCCCCAGTGTTCCACTCCATGAATGATTTCCCCCCTGAACTGGAAATTTGTATAAAGTGTGTAGCTCACCCCTTTCTGACACAGGAATATAGGGCAAACCCCAAGAGTCAGGTCTATGCTGTGTACAATTGTTCCAAACCCATCCTTCCAAAAGAGATCCAGGGCAGAGACCTGAGAAAAAAAAATGGATTTATAATGTAAATATTACCAGAAGATAGAGATTTTACTTTATATTTCATTTGAAAGACAAGGTGTTTACATTAGCATTGGGTTTTTTTGAGTGCTTTTTCTACAGAAAAACCCATAACCCAAAGCTCCCAAGCTCATCCCCTTTGAGCTGGTGAACACAACAGAGGTCACTTTTTTTTTTGGGATGCAGCCCTCGTGGCCTGGAGAGAGAGAGATGGGAACAGTCTGGGACATTTTGTCCTATTTCTGGGGCGTGTGGGATGTGCCAGCACTGCCAGCCCCACAGGGACACGGCTGCAGCCACTGGCAGGTGACACCAAGGCTGTGACACTGGGACCACAGGAGGAGATTTGGGACTGGTTTTTCCATGCTGCTCTTGCCAGTTTTGGGCACAGTGTTTAAAACTTGAGGGTTTTTTGGCAGTGTCTTCTCAGAGTGCCCCGGGGCTTTGTTGGGAGTTTGGTGAGAGCACCTGGCACCAGAGAAGGTCCTGGAGTGTTCAGGGCACTCAAGCTCTGCAGGCTTCACCTTGGTTTTTAGGTGAAAATTGGTGTATTTTCAGGGAATTCACCTGCCTGGGGCTGCCTGGCCGCTCAAAGGGAGCAGGGAGGTGAAATGGCAGGGATTTGGTTTCACACAGATCCCAGACTGGTTGGGGTTGGGAGGGATCTTAAAAATCACCAAGAAACCTCTCAGCCATGGCAGGGAGGTGCCCACTGTCCCAGGCTGCTCCAAACCCATCCAGCCTGGCCTTGGCCACTGCCAGGGATCCAGGGACAGCCCCAGCTGCTCTGGGAATTCTATCCCAGGGCCTGCCCACCCTGCCAGGGAACAATTCCTGCCCAAGATCCCATCCAGCCCTGCCCTCTGGCACTGGCAGCCATTCCCTGTGTCCTGTCCCTCCATCCCTTGTCTCCTTCAGGCCCTGCAAGGGGCTCTGAGCTCTCCCTGGAGCTTCTCCTCTCCAGGTGAGCACCCCCAGCTCTCCCAGCCTGGCTCTTGGAGCATTCCCAGAGGGAAGCACCGCAGCTCTGTTCCCCAGCAAGGTTTTTCCAGGTCAGGCTGAGACTGGAGAAGGAGCTCAGCCCTCTGGCACTGCCCCTGAGCTCAGCAGCACCGGGATCCATCCGAGGAAACAGGAGGATAAATAAAGCAGGCATTCAATAATAAAAATGTGGATGCATGCACAGAAAGGCTTTAGCTCCCTTCCTTCCACTCACCTTTCCCTTTAGACCTCTCCCAAAGGAATTTTCCCTGGGAATTTGGCAGCCCACACCTGCAGGGTTGAGGTCCTGCTGACAGAGCGGGAGTTTTTCCCCACGGACACCTTCAGACTTGAAATTTTACACGGTGGGAGCAGGAGGTGATTTTTCTGCCACCTTTCTGCTGTTTGTTGCAAGCAGTCCCAATTCTCAGCCAGCTCCTCACAGGAGACATTTCAGAGCAGTTTTCTACTTTAACAATATTTCTTAATAACTCTGAAATCTCTCAATTGTAGGAAAACCCAGCAAATAATGAGCTTTTCATTTGGTGTCTGCGTTTGTTCATAAATATCACTGCCCTGTTTAAGTCTTGTTTTTGCTGTCATTCGGTATTTCAGTTAAATTCATTTGTCTTCACTCTGCTCTTCCAGGTTTTATCTATCATTGTTTAAGACCTAAGTGGGAAAAATCCCTGGAAGTTTCTGTTGGAATGCCATCCCTTTTTAGCCAGGCAGAGCAGGTCTGTGCTGCTCTCCAAGATTCCTCCAGCAGGAGCATCCCAAAAAAAAGAGTCACCACCTCTCTTTCTCCCAGCAGAAGCATTTTCAAATGGCTGGAGTGCACTGAAAAGGTGGCAGATTTTTAAATTTAACTAAGAGAGAATCAAACTTTCCCCCCCTCCCCCTTTCTGTTGCTTTTATATGAAAATATCTTCATTTTGAAGCTTGTCATGACCAAAATAAGCAACATCATCCTGTTTTACTTTCCTGGTTAGAAATTACTGTCTCAAAGGTGTCATTTCATAGCCAGAATTCTTCTGTTCCTCTTTCCCTCACCATTTCCCAAGGAAATGAATCCGTGTAGAGCTGGGGAGGTTTTATGATCATCAGGATTATTCCAGTCAGGATTTTAATTCTTGTTTCACTGTGAGGAAAAGATTTGCAGGAATACTCCCTGCTCCTTCCTGGCTTCCCTTGTCCCTCTAGGAGGGATGGTGCTGCTGGCAGTGGTTCTTGGAACCACAAATGGATGGTGGGGATTCTCTTCCAAGGTTTGGACAAGCAGGATGTGGTGGAACACTCCAGATTCCAGCGGGGCTTTTGGGATTCCTCATTCATTACCCCAGGTTTTCTGGAATTGCTGTGGGTGTGCTGTCCCTGTATTGGGGCAGGAAGGGGGTTTTTCACTCCCAGATGTTGTAAGGTTGTTGAAATCCCCTGGATGCTTGGGTGACATAAAACAAAGGGAGATGTGTGGTTTGAGCCAGGAATTGAGTCGGGATATGCCGGGAAGCTCCCAGGGCTGGCAGGAGAAGGGCCCAGGATGTGGGACAAGCCCAGTGTGACCCCCCAGCAGTGAATCAAATCTCCCCAGGTATCACCCTGGGCCATTGAATGAACTCCCTCGTGTATAAAATGTTTATAAATATTTGTGGATGAAGATACACAGGTCTATTTTTAAGATTTAAGTTAAATAAGTTAATGAATGGCTGGCCTTTCCTGCCTAAACGTGCAATGAGATATATTATACCTTCAGTCCACGATGGCCTAGGTTCTGCTTAGTCTGTGATGAAAACTTTGCTGCTTTCCTACTCTTCTCAGAGAAAAAAAAAAATAAACTATAAAAGACGTACAGGTTTGTTGCACAGGGACTACTGCAGCGAAGCTTTGTATTTGACCACTGGTAATATGAATGTGTTGTATTGACTTGTTGAAGATAATCATGAAACAACATATTTTAAATGTTACTTGCCTTATAGATTAGAGTACGACTATGTGGATATCATTTTTGTAAATACTGTTTTTTATAAATGTCTCTCCTCCATCCTCCCCGTCACCCATTTCACCGACTCTCAAATATGCAATTATTTACCATGCAGAGCATTGTGACAAAGAAATCCCCACGTCAGAACAAAGTTTATTCATTCTATACATAAGAAACACACAAAATACCCAACTGAGTTGCAATTTAAATGTGATTATTATTATTTTTTTCCTTGAAAATAAACAAAAAATGGTAAAACATTTCTTTTACTGAGCGAGTTTTGATTCCACGTGCGGGAGCAACCAGAGGAGCGGGCAGAGGGATTGGAGGCTGGCCCAAAAAAGGACTTCTTGTCCCAAAAAAGGGTCCCTGTTCCAAAAACCATCATTCCTGCTGGAGTTATGCACAGTGTCCCAGCAAGGGTGGCATGTGGGGACACACGAGGGGACACACGAGGGTCCACAGGGACCGTGGGGACATGAGGGATGTGGGGACATGAGGGATGTGGGGACATGAGGGATGTGGGGATATGAGGGATGTGGGGTTGGGGGACCCACGGAGGCCATGGGGACACTTCAGGGCCGTAGGGACACGGCAGGTCTGTGTGGATCCACAGGGATCACAGGAATCTCTGTGGGACGTGGGGACATTTGGGGTGGCCGTGGGGACCTGAGGAGGTCACAGGGACCCAGGAGAGGGAGCTGTGGGGACATTTGGATGGGGCCACACAGAATCTTTAGGTTCCTTTAGGAATCTTTAGGTGGAATTCTTTAGGGGACATCTGGGAGCTGCAGGGACCTGGACAGGCGGTGGGGACAAGTTATGGGATCATGCAGGGACCTGTGGGAGCTGTGGGGACACAGAGGGACCTGTGGGGACACAGAGGGATCTGTGGGAGCTGTGGGGACACAGAGGGACCTGTAGGGACACAGAGGGACCTGTGGGAGCTGTGGGGATACGTGGGAGCCATGGGAACCGCTGGGGACTGTGAAGGAATACAGAGACCTGTGGAAAACACGGGGACATGTGAGGGAACCTGTGGGGACACCAGGGACTGTAGGAATATGCGAAAGCCATGGGGACACACCGGGAGCTGTGGGAACGATGGGGAACCGTGGGAGCCGCAGGAACACTCAGCCGTGAGGGTGGGAATGCCGGGGGCCGGGAATGCGGCGGGATGGAGGCCGGGAATGCGGGGGAATAGAAGCCAGGAATGTGACGGGATGGAGGCCGGGAATGAGGAGGGATGGAGGCGGAGCGGGAATGCGGCGGGCGGGCCCCGCTGCCGGCACCGCCTCCCCCCCTCAGCTGAGGGCGATGGAGGGCGGCGAAACGGGCGGCGAGCCCGGCCCGGGTGGGTCTCGATTGCCCCTCCAAAAACCCTTCAGCGCTGGGATTTTTTCCCCTGATAAAGCCGAGCTTTGCCTGGCAGGGCCTGGCGGGCGCTTCCCGGTGGCGGCGGTGGATGAGATCCTGAGGGAAGTGCTGGGGAGCGCCCTGAGGGAGCAGCGCTACGAGCCGGGGTCGTGCCGGGAGGCGGCCAAGGACATCGCCGAGGTGGGACATTTGCCCATGGGATGCCCCAAATATCCCCCCAAAAGCCCGATAAAGTGTACGATAAAGGCTGGGGGTGGCTGTCGAGACGCCGACAAGGGTTGCTCAGCTGGGAGTACCGAGGTGTAGGAGTTAATAAATAGATTTACAGACTGGTTTGGGTGAGGAGGGGCCTCAAAGCCCACCCAGAGCCACCCCAGCCATGGCAGGGACAGCTCCCACTGTCCCAGGCTGCTCCAAACCCATCCAGCCTGGCCTTGGGCACTGCCAGGGATCCAGGGACAGCCCCAGCTGCTCTGGGAATTCCATCCCAGCCCTTTCCCACTCTCCCAGGGAATAATTCCTGCCCAAGATCCCATCCAGCCCTGCCCTCTTTGTCAGCTTGATACCATCCCCTTTCCCCTGCTATAAATCCATCCCCATCTTTGATGACACAGGGAGTAAATCTGTTTTTCCCCGCAGGTTGTGAAGGCGCGGGTGAAAGCGCTGCAGGTGCCCAGGTACAAGATCGTGGTGGTGGCTCACATCGGGCAGCTGGGCCAGCAGAGCCTGCAGATCAGCAGCAGGTGCCTCTGGGATCCCCACACTGACACCTTCTCCTCCTACGTGTTCAAGAACACCTCGCTCTTTGCTGTGGCAAACGTCTACGGTGTGTATTTTGAGTAGGGAGGTAGTGGAGTTTAGCAGCAGGAGAAATGAATATTCAGCCTAACTCTTCCCTTTTCTGTTGAAAATATCTGTGAAAGACCAAGGTACTCTCGGCTGTTTTGCAACGTGAGCCTTTGGGCAAATGGAATAAGGGTCTTTCCCAGAGTTTTCTCTGGGAAGTGACTTTCTAAGGCAGTTTTGCAGCTGATTGCTGCTTGCAGAACTTGCCCTGTCGGGGAAATATATTCAGAATATTCCCTGTAAGTAATGTTTTCCCTGTTCTTATCCTGGAAACATTCCTGGAGTAGGAAATAAACGGAATTTTAGGTTTTGCCTGCCTGGTTTTGGGGCTGGTGCTGATGTTTCTAAGTCTCTCCTGTTGCAGCCGTTCACTGCTGAGGTGGGGTCTGGCTGACCTTGCTCTGAATCTGAAACCAGACTTTTTGCCACCCCTATTTCTCTGCTGAAACCTGCTGTTAGATTTTCCTGAGTCAGAGAACAAATCTATCACAAAATACTTATTTTATTACATTTTAGATGCAAAGCTGAAACCCAGAACAGTAGTTAGTTGGGTAGAAACACTTCATGTACTCATGACTGAAAGTTTAACCCACTGTAAACACTGTGAAATGCAGACAACCTGAAGCCAGTTGCTGGTGTGCACTGTGACGTTTAACACCCAAAAAAAGCTACAATTAAAGAACACAACTGAAAGGATTGTGGTTTATGTCATGATTGTTTTAATCCCTGGGAGCTGTGACACGGAGCTGTTGCGTTTCAGCACAGGGAGCTGATCTCTGCCCTGCTGCAGCCCACGTTGCAGCAGGATGTGGTGAGCAGCTTGGCTGCCTCACGCTTGTTTAGCACAGAGACTTTGCTGGTGTTTTGCGAGTCTTGCTCAGGTTTGACATCCTGGGGCTCTTCGCTGTGGATCCCCAGCCTCGGCTCTGGCTGTGATGAGAAGTCAGCGTCACCCTCCTCCTCGTGTGGGAAGTGCTGGGGGTTTTCACTCTCTGCCGCAGGAAAATGAGAAGTTAAACGTCATGGGAAGATGAGTAATTTATGCTTTTTATCTTTACTAGAAAGACAGACCAAGCTACAGCCAGGGAGCTGAGTGTTACCCTCTGATGAGAGCACCACGTCACAGACTCCTCACTGTGAGGGACAATCTGTGATCAACATGCTAAAAACGAGTCATTTAGGGATTTCTCTTGAGGAGTGTCCTGTGTTGCCTTGAGTCTTACACTGAGATGTTTGCTTCTCCAGGAAAAACTGTGATTTGATGTGTCAGAAGCTCTTGACCAGCACATTACGCAGGACCTGGGGGCTTCTTGAATTGCAGGTGTTGCTTTAAGGCACCAGCTGCACCAAAGTTCTGGGTGTTCCCATAGAAATTACAATCCAGCTGCAGTCAAAACACCTCAGTTTCAACAGCTGGGCTTTGTGCAGTCTGTAAAGGTGTAGCAGTTCTCACTTTTTAAAAGCAAGGTTCTTCAGCAGATTCTGGGGAGGGGATTGCCCATGTTACTGCTTTTGTATTTGTTTAAAGCTGCTGCTACAAGAGAATTTGCCCAAAATGCAGATGTAGGAAGTGCAGAAAGCCTTTGTTGCTGTCACCTGCCTCAGTTATTTTCTTGTTCTCTATTTATTTTAATCTGTCAGAGTACATATTTCTAACTGCCCATGTAATGGTTGAATTTTCTGACTGTCAAATCAAAATTTTCTGAGTATCAAGAAACGTGTTGAGAAGCATAAATATACACAAAGGCATGGGAAGGTGCATAAATTGCAGAGTGGATATTCAACATGCTCTAATTACAAAGTTTTAGAGAGTTTCTGTTTTCTAGTGGGGAAACTGAAGACCACAGTAAGACACTTGCAACGACTTCAGCAAAACTTGTCACTGTCACTAGAAATGTGATGGCAGAGAGATTTTCTTGCCTTGAATCCCATTCCTCAGGTGAGCTTGGAAAACCCTGGTCTAAATTCTTATTCTTTAGCGAAATACCCCAGGAAGCTGAGCCAGAGAAGCTGCAGGGAGAGGGAACATGAGGAGCCGCAGCTCTTGGCTGGCTCTCCCGGCACGGCCTGTGCTGCAGGGCTGGAGCTGCAGGCATTGAGGGCAGCCTAAGGGGGTTGTGCTGCTTCCCAATGCCCTGGGATCCCCTGGAATCCCCTGGGATCCAGGTGCAGCAGGCAGGGGAGAGCCTGGGATGTTGCAGCCGGTACTCACCGCGCAGGCCGTGGTGCCCAGGGAGGTTCCTCTTCCAGCGCGAGCCGCCGCAGGTGAACACCACGGCTCTGATGAAATCTCTGCCACAGAGCCTCACCTTGTTGCCTTCCCCTTCCCCTTCCCGTGCCAGGAGCAGGAGGACGAGGCAGCCCAGTGCCAGCAGCGTGCCCCTCATGCTGCCAGCGTGGTGCTTTCCCAGCTGGGCAGAAGGGATCCAGTGGGGAATTCTGCTGGAGCCTTCCCATTTATACCAACGGTCTGTCCACTCCACTGAGTACCAGCTCACTCTGAGGGCGGCGATGTTTGCTGAAAACAAATAAACTGCTTGTTCCTGGTCATGTTTGAAGTGCTTTGGGATCTCAGTCAGGTTAAATTAAAGATTTCTGAAGTCTATGGAGCTGCTTTACTGGAAACAGTTTATGGGGTATGGATTAGGTGGATGCTGTTAATGTGTGTTCTGCCAGGAAAAAAGGGTGTTTGTGACATGGATTCTATTTAATGGGTTTGGTGTCTGTGTCCCCCACACACCTGATGCCCAATCCTGACTGGGGTCATCTTCTGTTGGTGACCCCAAAGAAAAATGGAATGAACTCCTTCCCATGCTCCTCTCCACTCCCCCAGCTTGTTTACTGCTAAACCGTGGATGCTTGTGGGGAAAACCCTGCAGGGCCAAGCACTGCTGAGAAAATCCACCCCAGAGGGGGTTTGTGGCATGTATTGGTATCCCAGCCAGGATTCTCTGCTCTGGGAACAGAAGTTCATTGGTTCCTAATGTTGGCTTCAGTGTATTTAGGTTGCTATAAAAAAAAAATCCTTGCACTAAAATGCCTTTAGGAGGAAATTTCTCAATTATATGGTCAGAAATTCCATGTTTAAGGACAAAAGACACGAGGAACTTGGGAGATCTTGAGCCCTTCCTAGCACCACAAGGATTTTCCAGCACCATAATGTTACAGGTAATTAATTTTCACTGTGTGCAGGGTGGGTTATAGAAAGCTTGTTTTTTAGCAGTAAGCAAACAGTCATGGGCATGAATGGAAAATATAGGGTGTATTTTGGTCAGATTTATAATAATGATTAACAAATGATTCACCTTAACGAGTGTCTTTTCTTTGAAACACACCAAGATGAATTTTATGTCAGGGGGAAGTTTGCATGTCCCCTGTCAGATGTGCAGCACACAGAAGGAAGTGGATGTTAATGCAGCACAAATGATCCTTAATTCAGTGATGTGTTTGAGTGCTGGGTGTTTATTGTCAGGATAATGAGAGAGGCTGGATGTTCTGCATCTATAAAATACACCTTTCCATACATATTGTGCTCAGCAGCAGGGCTACAACTTGTGCTCAATCACCCCTCTGGAGATGCTCCCCATTTCCTGTGGGCAGGAAGTGCCTGGAAATCCTCCAGCTGGGTAATTTTTTTCTGTTTCTTCTTCTCTGCCCCCCAAACAAGCCACTCTAGGCAGCCAAACACTGCCTGCTTTCAACCCAAGGAGAAAAGAGCTTGGGAGGAAAAGCAGGAAGGGATAAAGGCCCCAGGAGAAAAGACTATGGAGACCTTTCCATGATCAGGATTCCAGAGAAAGCCATCCATGTGTGAACACTCCTGCAAGGAGGGGACTTCCAGGAGGACACTGAGGGCATTTGGAAGAAGTTTCTAAGCAGTGCAGCCTCAAAGAGAAACTTTATTGATTAAAAAAGGATAACTGATTTATGTTCATACTACAGTGTTTCCTGAAGGAGAAGGGATATCAGCTGCTGTTAAACAGCTCCAGCAGGAGCAACAATGTCACACAAGGAACCAACCTGGAAAAGAAGAGGAAAAAGAGCTGATTCTTCTTTGGAATTCTTGATTCTTCTTCGGAATTCTGTTAATGCTGGAAAACAGCACTTTTTGGCAGGCCAGGGTGGGTTGCATTTGTGCTGTCACGTTTGGCAGCATGCAGACATTCCTCTTGTTTCTAAAGGAAATTAATTCCCAGTGGTGTGGCAGCAGAAGAGCAGGAGCCAGCACCTTTGGGATTGTGATCCCACCTATTCCAGTATCCCCTGGCTGGGTGGTGTTTCCCAGAATTGCCTGGCTGAGGAATGAGCCCTACCTGGTCTGTGCTGGGGACAGCCAGGTTGTGCAGCTGCCACACCCCCACCTGGCCACTGCTGTCCCCCAGGAGCAGGCACTCGGCGTTCCTGGCAAACAGGATGGAGCTGAGATTCCCTTCAGGGATGGCAGCACAGGAGAACACCGGCTGGAAGCTGCAATCCAAAAATTAATGGGTACCATGCATTTGTCAGCTGAAAAACTGCACATTTCGCTTCTGGGTTAATATCAAAAATTGGGAAGTGAGGGGGTGCTTGGTTTGGGCTCTGCCACAAGAAAAATCCCAGCTGCTGTTAACTAAGAAATCCTGCATGCCTAAAATCTGTCCTGACCTGGAGAGTGGTGGTTAATATTTTTATTAGATGAGTAATTTGCAGGATGTGTCAGGGCTCTGGATCCACCAGGGTTTCACACTGTCAGTAACACAAAACCCTGAGCAGCTGGACAAGGTCACAGGTAACTGAGTCATCTCAACTTCAGACCATCCCATCTTTACCAAAGTAGCTCTGTTTTGTTATTTTTCCTTTTAACTCTGCCACAGTTTCTGCAGAAAAAGGGCAGTTTTGCACTTTATCAGCTCCATGAGGCATCCAGCTCCTCTTCTAACCCCAAATCTCTGGTAACCACCACCTGCTTTTACACCACGAGTATTTCAAAATGCAGTGGTTTGAGGAAGCCGCGTGTGGGGCTGTAACGATGCGATAAAAGCACTGATGAGGTAACGATGTGTGACAATTAAAATTTCAGGCTCTGCCTTGAGAAGGGTCATTACTCACATGCTGACACTCAGATCCCAAAACTCCACCCTCCTCTCGTTCACCGCTACGAAGATGAAGGCGGATTTTGGAGCCCACTTGATGTCGTGAACAAAAGCTGTGACAGAAGTGAAGGTTAAAAGGGGGGTGAAGGAATCCCGGTGCCACAAAAGGATGCTCCAGTCTGCAGAGCAGCTGAGGAACATGTCTGTGCTGGAGGGATTCCAGGCAACTTTGTACACAGGACCCTGTTTGGAGAGAAACAAACCAGAACTTGGTGTTGCTGTAGGGCTACAGAATCTTTTCTAGAGCTACCCAGCCTTCCTCCCACTGGTAAGACTATTTAATTCTACAGGACAATCAGATTTCTGATTGCTGTCTTAAAATAGAGCCAGAGCTAAAGCTTTAAACCAGTTTACAGTCCCAGTTTTAATAAATATCCTGACAGCATAGAAAATAATCCTGTAAAACTGTGATGCTTTATGCTATGGGAATTCATTCCTAATATAGGAGAAGTTTAGGTTTCTTTTTTTGCACACATTCCCTAAATATAAACAAAAACTGTTATTTTTTTTACAGTGTGTCACTCACCTTGTGGCCTCTGTAAGTCCCCAGAATCTGCTCCTTGCCTGAGCAAGAGCAGCAGTGGATGTGGCCCTCTTCTGTTCCAGCAAGAAAAATATCAGAATCCTGAAAGAAAGAGAAAAGTAGCCTAGGTTGGATGAATTTGTCACTGCTGCAGAAATCATCCAGGGCTGGATGAGTTCAGAGCCAAGGAGGAGCTCCTGTGAGCGGTGGCTGAAGTGGAACCACAACGTTGCACTTTTGCTGGGTGTGTTCACAACATGCTGGGGCTTGAAGATCTTGGATTTTCAGCAATCCATGTGGAAAACACATGAATTCTTGGAGTGCTCTGTGGAGGAAGTACTCAGCTGGCTGAAGAGAAGCTCAGCTGGGTCCTGGATGTGGGAGGTGTTGAACAGATTCTCCCAGCCAGTGGGGAACTGCCCAAGGAAATGTCAGTAACATGGCTGGGAGGACAGGGCTTGTTTCACCTTTTCACCTATTTGGGGTAAATCTTAGTAGCTAAAAAGCAATTTATTTAAAAATTAATATGATTTTAATAGCAGTGCCAAGTCCCTGGCTGGATCCCACTAAAGCAGCTCCAGCTGAGCATCCCACCAGTGCTGCAGAGCTTTCCTGGCTAACACTTCAGCCAGGATGGGCTTTCTGAGCCTACCTCTGGATGGAAGTCGAAGCACAACCCAGCTGCCTGTTGTGATATGGGAGCTTCACTTTTCCTTTCTCTCTCACCTGGTAATTTTTTCTTCCCACTTTGTGTTCTCCTGATTTTCATCACATCTGTGCAAAGAACAGGAGGTTTTGTCAAAAGGCTGTGAGGAACTGGTGCTGCTTTGGGCTGGCCAGCAGCTCTGAAGTGTTTTGTGGGATATCTGGTGTAAAGGATGTCAGCTGGAACCAAAGGGAGAGGTTTCAGGTGCTCACCAAAGCAATCCAGCCTTTGCTGGATGAACCACTGGGTCACTCGCCCATCTCCTGAGATGCACATCAGCCTCTCTTTTTTGTCACCTCTGTCCTGCTGCACCCACCTCAGCTGCCACACAGGACCTTTGTGTTTATTTAGGGATGCACTGGCACACAAAAAAATACACGTGGTTAATCACAGATGAGCAAAGACAAGACAACGTGTTTGAAAAATAATTCAGCTTCCGCTTTATAACGAGTGTTAAGTCTTATAACAGAAATGTTTAGCTCTTCTTTTAAAGAAATGGTCTGGCCATTGGTTGTTTTCTCCAGGAAAATGTTTCTTTTATTAAACATGCTTGATAATTAGTTTCAGGGCACTGTTTATGTACTTGCACCATGAAATGAGTCTGCACCTTGTAGGAGAGTGCCTGAGACCTGGGGAGCTGCCCTTAGGGCAGGTGCTTCCCTCATCACCACCCATCCCCTCTCTCATTTTCTTCTTAATTCCTGCTCACCCCTCACTTATTCTGATATTCTCTCAATTTGTGGCAAAAGAGATCAGAGAGAAAGCACAAAAAGAGAGAAAGCACTGGTCTCCATAAGGATTTATTATCCAGGGCTGGGTTGTCCTAGTCAGGACACAGAATATAAATTACAGCTGGGGGTAAAGAGCTGCAATTGCTTAGAGGGTGAGGGAATGGCATTGCTTTGTTGCCCCTTCCCAAAGTTTGCCTCTGTCATTGTAATTTGCCTCTGGCTGGTTTTAAAAGGATCCCTTTTCAGATGGATCAGCAGAGGTGTAAACATCTATCAAATTCCCTCTTTTACTGCC